ATTGCATCAGTTGTTGATCTTCCAGGCATAAAGCCAAACTGAGTCTCTCCTATTTCGATTATGTCTCTTAATCTTTTTTCTATTATTTTTTTCGAATAGTTTTAGACAGTATGACTTTAGTTTTATGCCCCTGTGATTTTGACAATTGTGTGGATCCATTTTATTTTTGAAGATAAAAACTAAATAGCTCTGCCTCCATTTTTGAGGGATCCCTTCATTTTCCAGTATTTTATTGTACAGATTTGTGAGGAGATATATTGGAATATCATCTGGACCCCTAGCTTTGTTGTTTTTCTTATGCTTGAGGCATGTGATTATTTCTTGTTCTGTTATCGGTTGTACAAGGTTTTAACATGGGGAGTGTTCATCTAGATTTTGCATGTGAGGATTAAAGTTGAGAAGCTCCTGAAAATATTTTTTCCATCTATTCATTATTTCTTTTTCCTTTATTATCGATTTCCCATCTTTGTTTTTGATTACTTTCGGAGCTCCGTTTATATCCCTAGATTTCTCGTTTGGCTAATCTGTATATTTTATTTTGCCCTTCTTTGGTATGTAATTCTTCATACATGTCATCGTATGCCATAGATACCGCCTTTGTAGCTATTCTCTTGGATTTTTTGTATCTTGTCTTGTCATCTGGGTTATTGGATTTGTACGATATTTTATAAAGAGCCTTTTTCTCCTGTATAGTGGTTTGTACCTCTTCATTCCACTATCATAGTTCTTTGCATGATTTGTTACCTCCCTTTGTCAAGCCTAGTGTTGATTTGGCAGTGTCTATTAATCTGGTTGAAAAGTCTGTCCACATTTTTTAACTGACTTGTCAAGAATCTATTGTTTCAATGTTTGCATGGACTGCAAAGGCATCTGTGATTGTTTTTAATTTACCCCATTTGATGCATGGTTTCACTTTTATCTTGTTTTGAGTGATTTATTTGCGATGTGTAAATCCATGACTAGTAAGTAGTTTGTGTTGCACGGCTATATCTTCTCCTGGGATGCCTTTGCAGTCTATTACATCTTTTAATCTTCTGCGAGAGATTAGCATGTAATCTATCTGTGTTTTCCTTGTACCACTTTCATATGTTATTAAACGACTGTCTTTTTTCCTATAGTAGGTGTTGGTTAAGGCAAGGTCGAAGACTTGCGCAAAATTCAGTATATGCTATCCTTCATCATTTCTTTCTCCATATCCCACCATGATGCCTTTTGTAGCTATCTCTTGCTTTTCCCACATGTGCATTTAAGTCACCACCTATTATGACTAGGTCATTCTTAGTGATTTCCATTACAGCTTTATCAAGGATAGCTCTAAAGTCATCTTTCTCTTCTACCTTGCAACCCGTTTGAGGAGCATATACTGAAAGGATGTGTAATATTGATTGACCAATGCAGAGTTTTATCTTCATCAGTCTATCAGAGATCCTGTTGACTTCTACTACTGAAGAGGTTAGATCTTGACTGAGGATAATACCGACACCGTTCCTATTACTAAGAATTCTATTATAGTACAATTTATACCCACCTCCAATCATCAAATTTTCTGTCCCTTCCATTTCGTCTCTTGTATGCACGTTTATCTTTTCTCATGTTCAACATTGATGCCAATTTTCTCGTCTCACCTTTAAGCGTCCCAATATTCAAACTTGCTAACCTTGTCTTCTTTTTTGACCTTTATTTTACTTTTCGCAGGATGGAGGTCTACACCCTGTGGATCGCTTGGAGGGAACGCCCTAGCTTTCATATTTATATTTTCATTTGTTTCCTGTTTATTGGACAAGTATCCTTAGAACCCGGCTGTCCAGGCCTGTCGGTGACTGGGGTGTCATTTCTAAGCTCCGAAATTTATCTTACCATATGTCTTTACACATCAGTTATCGAAGAAAAACCTGAAAATTTTTATGCTCCTTACCAGGATTGAACCTGCGTTCTTCTGTTTCCAAGCATACATCTAACCCATTAGGCCATCCCGGCTATTTCATGATAACATTTATCGAACATTATTTCTAGCATTTTTTATTTCGTATCTTTAATTTTTTCCTTTTTGATATGGTTTTTCAGAATGAATATTCCAATAATCTTCAAACATGAAGAATATATATGAAATTTTAATTACCCTCAATCAATAAATTTTGCATATGATCCAGAATTTATGGACGATGCTTAAATTTAGAATTTATCAAAGTTCCTACAACTGATTCAACTGATAAATTTATAAACTTCATTAGTAAAATATTTGGAGGTTTTACCGTTGTTTCCGCGGTTCACTTTTCATCATACAGTGTTGTGATGATTTAATGAAACATATTGACGATTAAATTAAAACCCTTTTATATAAAATAAATTATAATCTTTGCAAAAATAATTAAAATATAGACAAAGCATTATTGAAATTTCTTTTATTATTCCTTTTGTTATTTTAATTATTTTTGCAAAGATTATAATTTTATATGGAGAGGTTTTAATTTAATCGTCAATATGTTTCATTAAATCATCACAATACTGTATATTGTTCGTTAATGTCAGAATTAAGATTGCTTTAAATCGGAATTTTTGGCATTAATTCAAGCATGTTCATCTAATAGAATTAATTTCTTTTTGCGAAATTTTAAATATACCTTTTAAATATATTTCTGGGAGCCAATCTTTGGGGAAATTTTTGCGATTACTACAATAGCGCTTATAGCAACAATTTGATTCTTCATCTTTTACTTCCTTACAAGTTTTATTTTTATTAAGATTTTCATTATTATGATTTTTATTACGAATATTTTTATCATTATATAATCGATAATTATAATCTCTAAAGTTGTTATTGTAATATATCTCTTTATAAATTTATTACCTAAATTTCTTTCTTCATGGTAATTTTTATTATTAAATCTATTATATTTATTCATGTTATAATAATTTTCTGTGTCACTGTAATAATAATTATTATATTTTTATAAGTTTGATATTGAGAATTATTATTACAAATTTTTTTTATATTTTTATACGACATATTTAGAAATTTCTATCATCTCTTACATATTTTAGAATTAAAATAACATTCCAGAATCCTCTTTCATCTAGTTCGACCATGTTCCAGTAGCTAAAATTGTATCTAAAAATGTGTCTGAAAAAAATAGCTAAAAAAATCTCTGAGGTGGCCTATCTACTACCATGAAAACTACAAGAAAGGCAGAAATCAAAAAATTTAATTTAATTTTTTTTTAATTAAATTAATTTTCAAAAAATATATATATCTGACAAATTTCTATCCTATATATATTTTTTATATTATAATTATTTACATATACAAAATTTAAGAAAAAAAGAATTTTACGTATACAAAATTTAAGATAAGAAGAAATTATTTTAAGGTAAAAGCAAAATAATTTATTTTATGGTTTTTACATTTAACAAAGTAAGAAAAGAAAAATTAACAAAGTAAGAAAATAAAATTTTATTTTTAAGGTTAAACAATTTACAAAATTTATATTCAAATAATCTTTGAAACATTTTAAAACTTTATAATTTTATATTTTACAACTTCTAAATCAAATTAATAGTAGATAATGTTATTTGATGCTGGTATGTTACAATCTTGAAATAAAATAGCTGTTGTAGACATGCAAATTTTAATGTTTTCAAGAGAAAGGAAATTAATATTTGTAATATTCATATTTCAAGAAACGAAATTGTACTTTATTTTAATTTAAAGATGAATTGGATGTTAAAAAAATGAATGATTATAAAATTTGAATAATTGTTGGATAAAAAAAAATATAAAAGATGATTATACAAATTTATAACATAAACTTTTTATTTTTCGCTTATATGTTTCCTAATTATTAACTTTTTCTTATATATTTACTTTCTTTTTTAATTTTTCTCTCATAATTTTTTACTTTTATTTGATAATTAATATATTTAGTTTATGGTTATGAATATAAATATTTTCTCTACTACAACAATGGTGCCGAAACATTATGTTCTATGGGCCTATTCAGTCTATTAACTCTGAAAAGAAATTCTATGTAAAGGAGGAAGGAGATGCATGAAATGACCATGGACACTAAGAAAAAGAAGGAGATCAATGAAGCAATGGTATCCGAAAAAGTATAGAATTATTCGTTTTAATCACAAGAGACCGATATAGATAAAGGAATTCATCACAAGATATCGTTATACGTACAAGTGATCTTTTTAGCTAAAAGAAATTCGTTACAATTTTTATTAAAGATATAAATAGAAAATTCATGCTGCAATCGAGCTCGTTTAGAGATCGGATTTTTATCTTGAATCAAATACAAGAAATAGTTATTTTATAAGAGATCTTTATTACAGGGAATGGTTATGGTTACAAGAGATTGCTACCGTTCGGATCGTGACAAGAGTCATTATCGTTACAAAAGAGCGTTATCGTTATAAGAGATCTTTATCGTAGACATTATGGACAAAAGAGATGCCTTAGCGAAAAATGGTGATAACTCAATGTTCAAGCTATAATCGGACACGAATGATAGTTAGACTAAGAAGACAAGGAACAGCCGTAGTTAGAATTTAGAAGACATTAGAGACTAAGAAAAATAGATTTAGAGATAAAAGATCAAGGCCAAAATCGAAGATCGCAGAATGTGTGATCTAATCTGAGCGGAGGGATATTGTAGAGATGCAAATTTTTGTTATAATGTTTTCAAGAGATATGAAATTAATTTTTGTAATATTCATATTTCAGGGTATTCTACTTTATTTTAATTTAAAGATGAATTGGATGTTAAAATGAATAATTATAAAATTTGAATAATTGTTGGATAAAAAAAAATTATAAAAGATGATTATACAATATAATAACATAGCTTTTTATTTTACGCTTATAATTTTCCGAATTATTATCAATTTTTTTTATATTATTTTACTTTCTTTTTTAATTTTTCTCTTATATTTTTTTACTTTTATTTGATAATTAGTATTTATAGTTTATGGTTATGAATAAAACTTTAGAATAACAAAGTTGGTGACTTTTTTAAATTTCTTACAAATTATGAATTTAAGATTTCATTATATACGATATTTTGTGTGAATGTTTTATCATTTTTTAAAATTTTTCCTTGTAATTCTGATGGCAAAATCATAATTTTCATATTATTTTGAGATTTACATCTAGTAAGAGCCACATATAGTTGTCCATGGGCAAAGACGGGCTCAGGGAGGAATAAGCCTACATGATCAAAAGTTTGTCCTTGACTTTTATTTATTGTAATCACAAAAGCGGGAATTATAGGAAACTGTCGTCTTTTTAAAGTAATGGTAACTGTTCGTGGGAGAAAAACTCGATAACCCTTATTAGTGCCTGTCAATACCTCAGCGTCGATAAAATTAATATGTAAATGTCGTATGATTAAACGGGTACCATTACAAAGTCCTTTCTTTGGGCTCAAGTTGCGTAATAGCATAACAATTGTACCAACCTTAAGTGTTAGCTTGTGAGGTGGCATACCGGATGGAGTTTGTGAATGCAAAAATTCTAGTGGAAAATTCATTATATCATCCTTATTATCGCTTTCAATGGAATCTGCACTATAATAATGTTTGATAGGGCCTGAAATTATATTAATAATATCGTTGTTGAGGGTAAGTGCAATTTTATTTTTGGTGGTTAATATTATTTTAGTAGAAAGACTATCTATATCAGCAATTTCTATAGAATTACCATACACACATTTTATTAATGAATCATTTTAAAGGGAATAAGGTGGGATTTCAACACTATTTGTAGGAAGATCAGAATTGCTGCGTGATAGCCCATCTCCAATTTTAAGTAACCAAGCATTGTAATCAACTTGATCTGATGAAATACGCATATTATCAATCAAATGTATTATTTTAAAATGACTCCATAAATATGAACTTTTTATACAGGACTCTATAATATCGAATTTGGAGCCTTTAGGCACTACTGGTAAAGTCTGTCTAAAATCACCACCTAATAAAATTACTTTTCCGCCAAATGGGTGGGAATTTTTCATAATGTCTTTAAGTAATCGGTCAATGCATCGCAAAGCGTGTTTAGTCATCATTGTGGCCTCATCAATAATAATCAATTTGCTATTTTTAATATCTAGAGCTAACGAACTATGTAAATTCATATGGGATGTAGAAGTTTCAAAGATAGGCACAGGTAATTTAAATCCGCTATGGATGGTTCTTCCCCCCTTTAAAAGAATAGAGGATATGCCGGTGGTTGTAAAAGGCAATACAATTTGATTTTTTGCTCTTATATAACACATTAAGGTATTGTAAAGATACGTTTTACCTGAACCTCCAGGGCCATCCACGAAGAAATATCTTTCTGGAATATTTTCTAATTCAATCGCTTGTATAATTAAATCAAAAGCATATTTTTGTAATCGGTTTAATTTAGATATACGCTCGATTGAATCGGCAGCTTCAACATGGGCATCATAATGTTGTTTTGGGGGGATTTTTGTAGGTGAAGGAAGATTAAAACTTTGACAGCATAAACCATGATCAAGAAAAACGTTTTCAATGTCCATTAAAGCCATGTTTATTGCAATTACTTCTGAATATTGACGCAAATAATCTTCAATCATCATAAATCTGAACCTATTCCATAGATATGCAGGATTTTCAGGCTGACAAAAAATGCAGATTAAGGCAAAAGTACTCCGAAGTTGTAACGGCATTTGATATATTGATCCCTCTTCTAAGCATGATTCCCACTCTTTATCATCTGATAACAAATTTCTTTTAATAGCTGCCTCTTTAAAAGTACTCATTAAAATTCCATTAATAGTTTTTAAATAATCAAAACTTGTAGCCCCGCAAACATGAAGTAATAATAATTGAAGGAAGAATCGTTCACCAGAATTAGGATGAACGGAATACATTCTCGAAATTACATTTAATCGTTTTTTTCTTAGTTTCCAATGGTAATTTGTAAACACATAATGATAAGGTATTTCCCCATAAAGATATTGTCTAGCATTTAGATCTGTCTTATTTGACTCAAACCATGCCGTTAAAGTAGTATGTTTATTTTCTGATCTCAATAAAGCATCTCTTTCATGTCCAGCAGTGAAATATACTGGCTGTTGTAAAGGTAAATGAATTCCTAAGCGAATAACTGCGTGCGAGCGGTCATGCATATTATTTTCTAATAATCTCCACATTGGTTCACATGCACTCACATATCGCGCATTTAAATGTGATTTAATTTCGTCATGAATATTTATATTTGAAGCAACATTAATGTCAACATTAGTACAGTCATAGCCCTTATAAATATACTTAAAGATATATTTTACCGATTTAATAGATGTACAAATTTCCACGTTAATATGAGCATTGAATTTTAACATCAGATATCGATTATAACGAATAACATAACGATTATCCGTAGGTTTACCGGAAAGAATTGTAATACCATTATCTCGCCTTTTATAATATGGATACCCAACAATATTTGGTCTTGTTTCCATTTGAAAATCCTTCGGAAATTTTTTGGTACATATGCCATTTTCCTTGCAAGGCGATTTGGGGTTAAATATCCCGCAAGGACCATGTATCATAAAATGGGTAACAATTTGAAAAAGTTTAGGATCGAGAATTTTATCTGGCATTTTGGCACAAACAAATTTATCTATAGCTTGAGATGTTTCAATTTTGCTATCATCGTTTAAAATAATAAGTATATGGGCATGAGGCAAACCTCTTTTTTGGAACTCGATTGTATATATAAAAGCCATAGATTTACCAAATAAATTTTTTTTATTTATATCGAACAATAATTCATTTAATTTCAATTTAAAAACACGGGCTATTAAATCTGGTCTATCTGTAGGACTTTGCCCGGGAAATAGATTTTCCTTAATTTCACGCCAATTAGGATTGCATGTAAAAGTAATAAACAAATCAGGTTTGCCAAATTTGAGCACAATGGCCATTGCATCGTGATAGCGTTCTCGCATATTTCTTTGAGAACCTTGAAAAGATGATGGTAATATTACTGCTTTGCCGGGAATTATATTGTTTGACTTTGTTTCCAAGTAGTCCATTAATCCAGAATATTCATCTACTCGTAATTTTGGCTGATTTTGTCTAATAAAATTTAAATTATTCGCCTCGACCTGTAAATAGGAATCAACAATATATTGTTGTGATAATTTCCCAGCAAAAAGGATTGGGTTGAATTCATTTTCACGAATTACTAATCTAAATATTTTAAACTGTAGTGAGATATTTGCCCTTGTACGCCCTGTATCTTCACCCTTTAAATCTGGTTTCCAACCAGGGTCACCAAAAGAAAATAATAGAGGATATACGATTGGATCAAGATTAGGGCTTAATATATTTATATTTATCAGATCACTACCATCAACTCGAGGATAGACCTTGATATCCCGTTTAAATGGGGGTTCACCATCATCATTTGTAAAAATCATAGCTACTTCATCTATATTAGGAATGTTATATCTTCGCTTGTCACTTGAGCGATCTGCACGAAAAATCATATTGATTTTTTGAACTGGACGATTTTCTTGAATAGCCCTATTTTTTTCTTCTTTCTCAATTTCTCCCAAGGTTTTAAAACTAATAGAAAATGGGTTATTCTGTCTTATTAAAATCTAATCTTTTTAAGAGATCCTCATTGCAACCAGAATTTTCTTTCATGTGTAACCTGCCATTAACAGCCTGGGTGGTCTCAAGGACATATAGTTGTGCAAATTTAGGAGGCATCCCAGTGGAAGGATATAAATGAGATGTTCGGTGATAAATTTGCCCATGAACTCTAAAACAATATGGGCCTGAGTTTAAACTATTAGAAATCTGTGCTCCCATGGATGCGAACGCAAGTGAACTATTATAAGATCTTATATATTTCATAAAGTTTGAATGAAATTCATTGTTAGGATTAGATAAAAGGTCTTGTAAAAAAGGAATATATCGGATTGATGGTATCTTAACTTTACCCTTATGACAGCAATTTTTAAATTTGCCATCTGTGGGTTTTTCCAATAAAAAATTTAGAGAATCGCAATAATCGCACTTAGTGTTGAGTAATCCACAATAATGTTCTTGTACTAATGATGTGCAGAAATATTTATCTAAAATAAATTTGAGGCCTGCTAAAAATTATACATATAATTTAATATTTTTGTGATTATTCAGAGACCTGCAGACCCGGTGTAATTGTAAAATCAATACCATCAAAAATCAATACGTTATTGATTTTTATAAATCTTTGATTCGACATTTATATATGAATCACAAAATTTTATAAACTCAATCATAAGGTCCATTTAATTTATTTGAATTCATAATATCATTTATAAAACTTTGAATCAACAATTATATAGCACTTCACAAATTACAAATAATGATTATACAAATATAAAATATATAGGATATCAAGAATTGTAAAATAAATAAATTCCCTGATAAATTATATAAAAGAATAGAAAATCATATTTATCATTTTAATATATTTAAAACTATTAAATCTATTTTAAATAAAATTTTTACAAATCGAAAATGGCCGCCAATATTTATAAAGCGATGAAAAAATATATAATAAATAAATATTTTATAATTTTAATGGTCGCCAATATATTTGAAGCGATGCAAACATCTTAAAAATCTATACGGTATTGATTCTACAATAGCAATATATCACTACGGTATTGAATCTATAATGATATCAATACGGTATTGAAGTTACAATGGGTATTGATTTCACAATCAATACACCGGCTCTGATGTAAACATATGCCAGGCTTATAATAATTTTTTCTAAAATATTCCATGGGTAATTACGATTATGTGGCACATACTTATTTTATCTTATATTTTACCCGTCAAGATGATAGTGAAATAAGAATTTTCTTTTTTATTAGTTGATGAAATATATTTTTTATTGTGGACATAAATTAAAATTAATAACCATATACTTCATGAATAAATAATAAATTTTGAATAACTACTGATGATGGATAAATCAAAAATTTTCTTATCTATCTTATGAGATGTGATTCAGAAATTTATATTTATTAAAATATTTGTTATACATAAATTAAAATTTTTAACTTGGTTTGTTTTTATTGATTTGGGTAGATTAAGATTTTGGTGTATAGTAGATTTTGGTAGTGTCTAATTTAAAAAAATTTATTACATAAATTAAAATTTTTAACTTCGTTTGTTTCTATTGATTTGGGTAGATTAAGATTCTTGAATGGTACATTTCGGTAATATGATTCGTAGAATCTAATTTAAATAAATTTATTTGTTAACATAAATTAAAATTTTTAACTTGGTTTATTTTGATTGATTTTGGTAGATTAAGATTCTGCTGAATGGTACATTTCGGTAATATATATCGTGGAATCTAATTTTAAAAAAATCTATTTGATAACATAAATTAAATTTTTTAACTTCGTTTGTTTTTATTGATTTGGGTAGATTAAGAGTCCGTTGAATGGCACATTTCGGCAATATGATCCGTGGAATCTAATTTAAATAAATTTATTTATTGTCATAAATTAAAATTTTTAACTTGATTTGTTTTTATTGATATAGGATCACTGAAAAAATTATACTTAGATATTGTACCAAAGGTATCTTGTGTAGGAATCTAAAAAAAATAATAAAATAGATTTTAATGGCCCACAGTAATGTTCAACTTGTTCTTGATTTTCAGTATCTTCAAGATGATTGGATGTTGAAGCAATAATACAATTTGATTGTTTATTTCCAGTATCTTCAAGATAATTGGATGTTGTAGGAATAAGACTTTGCTCATTCCTTTTCTTGATACGACAAAGTGCCTGTCTCTTTCTAGCTTTCTCCTTATGTAGATTTATTATTAAAATTTAAAAATATAAGAATTACTCAATTTTATAAAAATAAGTTTAGTTTAAAATATTTATTATTGTGGACATAAAATAAAATTACTAAATATATACTTCATAAACATATTTATAAAAAATAATGGAAAATATTAGAATAGCCCCTCACCTAATAAATATATATTCGGAATCACATCTTAAAAATATAAAATTTACTCTTGTTTAAGCAATAATGCCTTCTTTAGATTTTGGTAGTATGAAACGTTCCATTGTTTGGTTTTGTTGAATGGTATCTTGTGTAGGAATCTAAAAAAAATAATAAAATAGTATTTATAAAAATTTTAACTTACATTGCCTATGAGATAACCTTAAAAAACTTATTTAATATTATATGTATTTATTATGTAAGTTTGAATTTTGTGCAGGAATCTAAAAAAATAGTATTTATAAAAATTTTAAATTACATTGCCTATGAGATAACCTTAAAAAACTTATTTAATATATGTATTTATTATGTGAGTTTGTTTTTTGTACAGGAATCTAAAAAAATAGTATTTATAAAAATTTTAACTTACATTGCCTATGAGATAACCTTAATTTTAACTTACATTGCCTATGAGATAACCTTAAAAAACTTATCTAATATTATATGTATTTATTATGTAAGTTTGTTTTTTGTGCAGGAATCTAAAAAATAGTATTTATAAAAATTTTAACTTCCCTAAATCTGCCACTTAACGTGGGTAAAATAGAATAGATAAATGAATTTTCAAATATAAAATAAGATGCTCAGATAAAACGTAAGTATATGTAATGTTCAACTTGTTCTTGATTTTCAGTATCTTCAAGATTAAGATGTGTAAATTGAAAGTATATGGTTTTGCTCGATGTGGTGTCTGTTAAAAAATATAATTATTTACTGATGATTGAGTGTCTGTTAAAAAAAATATCAATTATTGTAATTATTATATGTTTTGTAATTGTTTTTTGTATTGAAATTCTTTTTTTGAAAATGGCGGTTCGATTTGGTTTATGAATGCGTGTTTGATATGTTTAAGCTATGATGATTTTTATTGAATATATATATTATAGATTTGAATTCCTTAGCTCTTGTAGGATTATCTGCAAACATTTTTTTCATACTAATGTTCCTTCCTGCCTATTGCCTCAAAATACTTCTGAAATGCTTTCCATGATTTATAGGAGATTAAATCCATTTTGCTAATATGATTTAAATTGACTTAATATTGCTATGATAGATAGATAAATTATAGATATATAGAAAGAACAATATATTTGACATCAATTAAGACAAAATATTTACATTTTAACTTAGAAATATAATGCTATTTAAAATAAAATATAATATTATAGATGGCGCTAAATATTATGGAGATTAAAACTACAATTTAACATAACTTAAATACTTCCGAATTTGTTAATATTAATTAAATATTATTAAGAATCACTCCCTATTTAAGTAGGACAAACGTCCAATAATTAAAAAAGAAGTTGAATATTACATAATATATTAACAAAATTATAATTGACTATTATCAGGTAAAATATTTGACTATATAATGTCACAGTTGTGACTGTGACTCCTATAATCATTTTGATTGGACAAATAATATTTAAAAGAAAACTATTGGCTAAATTTGATTGGCATTTTTTGAGGATTATATATATAGATACTAATTTTATATATTTAAATTAAGTTTTAAAAAACAATAAACACCAACTTGCGGATTGAATATTATTGACTATATATTATAATTTATTTATTTAAAATATAATCACATAAGTAGATTTAAACCATATATTAATAGACTAAATGAAATCTAACTAATAATTTATTTTACTTAATTAATGAGTATCTAGTAATTTAGTTTTTATAACTTATTTATATAATAAAAAGATGGATCTCAACTCAATTAATAAAGGATATAGAATCTTTTTTACCTGTAATGCAAAAAAATTTCATAAATTTTATATATAATTTTATTTCAATTTTTACATCTTTAAAAATTACACATGATAACTATATTAAAAGTACTATAAAATAATAAAAAAATTACCTTGACATTAAAATAATATGGGAATAGATAAGGAATAAATATATATTACGATTCAATATGGAAAGCAAAATTGAAAAAAAGAAGGAAATACAGCACGTGATTATATAAGATAATACCTTCTTTTCCAATTTAAGTAATGCGCACCTGATTAATACCACAATTAAACAATCAGAGAATACTTCATAAATACAATTATGATATTTTCTCCCAGTCCTCAAAAACTTATTGTAATCAATTAAACATAGATATAGACTCAATGTATTTTCCGAAAAATTGCGAATCCTCTCTTCTAATATGGCATCCCTTAATTATTTTTAACCTAATTAGATGGAAATGCCCCATATCTATGCGCCTAACATTGTATGATATTAAAAGCTTTAATGTATAATAATAATAAAAAATTAGTAGCTAAATCAAATGAAAATCTTATGTCATGTCATTTTAACACTCAATACTAAGATATTTATAATAACTTTTAAAAGTCAGGTTATTTTCGATGATTTTTTTTTATAACATGGAAAAATGAACGATGTTATAATTAAAGACAACAATGAAGATGACGAAGCCTGGTTATATGGAGGTTTTAATATAATATATTTCATCTTATTTTGCATCTTATGCTATTTTATAGACTCTAAAGAAACTGAGGAAATTGATAAGAATAAGTAACTTACATTATAACAATTTTATTCTATCCTTTATTTTAGTGAAAACTTATTGAAACCTGATTCACCTACTATAATTGCAAATGAAAATTTGGTAAAAATTTTTTATATTAAGTTTTATTTATATTATCAATATTTACTTTTATCTATACACATAATAAACAGGTTTTGATATGATATGAATTATTTTTTACTTCTAATTTGATTAATTTATGTTTATATATATATATATCTAAATATCAGGGACATAAGGCCCTGTGAAAAATGGCCAGAAAAGTGAAATTGATTTAAAAATCCTGGCTAGTCTCCTCCCATTAAAAGAATTTTTTGCAAAACTTAGATAGGTTATTAAAAAATATTATCAATTAACCAGCTGGAAAACATTAAATTAATCATGTATTCATTTATTTTTCATATATTGAATTTCCCTTTATAACAAGGCTAAAATCCATTTTTTATATATTAAGTGACAGAATCAGATGATTGCCTCAAATATACTATATCCCCCCTCCCCCCCACCAATCCCACCCTAGGACAGAACCCAAGCTGGCTTCTAAAAAAATATTATCCTTGCTGAGATTAACTCAGAACCATCAAATTAGAAAGTGAAGCTCTTATTGAAGGCCATAGATGCTTTCCAAAATTATGATTTTTTAATAATATATTTACTATTTATTGGTGAAGAACATATCATAATCATATAATAAGAATGAATATTTAGAATAGTTAATAGATTTAATTATAATAATCAGGCCATTTATGAATATAGGCATATTCATAAAATTCTCAGGGAAGGGAGACTAGTATATTTAAGGTGATTTGAAATATTAATTTGCAAAAGAGTATTTAAAATTTTTCGAACATATTTTGGTTGTCAAAAAAATAAGGTTATAATCTGTGTTATGTGAATTTTTTAAACATGAATATTAAAAAGAATCTGTATCTATTGCCAAGAAAATACAAAAGATACAAGATTCTTTTTAGAATAAAGGATATTAGATACAGAAACATCTTATTAAAAATGTCAAAAAGATACTGAGTACAAGATACAAAAGGATCTTATATCTTAAATACAAGTATTGGCAATATTACCCAACTTTGATTAAAAGGAAATAAGATACCAATTCACTTAAACACATCCTTTGGCAGTCAGCATACCTCGAAAAACTTACAAATTGGGTAAAATATGGATTGCCTAATTATAAAAAAATCCCTGGGCCATCCTAAAATAAAAAAATCTGGCTCAGATCTGAAAATTTGAATAATTTTTTAAATATGTGCTTGGCCTAAAAATTATACCCTTGAAAGTCTCTGCTAAAATAGCCATGCTAAAATATTAATAGCTCTCATTGGGCTTAAAATTATTATATGGAATTTAAATATATTTATTCAATTATACTAAATAATAAATTATCTATACATTTATAAAAGATGACTTTAATTTTGAAATTATGAATATTGATATCACCTTTTTAGCCAATATAGCTTGCCTAAACTGATATTAACATGAAATCTATGATCCCTAATAATATAGTATGTTTAAATCAAAAATATAGTTAATCAATATTATTTTTTTTTATATTATGAACTTTATTTCAAAATAAAATGTTAAGATATGGGTCAGGCCAGACTTTAAAGATTTTTAGTGTGAATAACAATTGTGATAACCAATTTTAAAATTGCCCAAATCGGGCTGTTTAACAACACTAATCCAATGTGATAATGTTTATTTCATTACCATTGTTATTGAAATCATTTATTCAAACATAATATAAAACCTCCAAATGCCTGTTAAAATTTTTTCTATATTGCACCATATATATGTTGGCCAAAATATCATAGCCTTCATTGGATTTGCCTTCCCATCTCGTGGAGGCTATTTCATTAATAATTATAAATTTTTATATTAAAAAAAATATTTATAGGAAGACACATCTGACATACCATACATTACCAGTGAGGATAGTGGGAATTTGATCAGGAACGGGTTTGATCAAAATGCAGCACTTGAAGTGACAAATATAGAGCTTGTAGAAATTCAGTACGCTCAGAACAACGATGGTCAACATGGTGGTCTCGAAAATGGTTTTGGACCAGTAGATCATACAGACAAAGGCTTGAATGGAGGTGGAGAAGGAATGGAGGAAGAAGAGGAAGAAGACGACGTTCAAGTCACTATAAGGGATATCAAAGCAAATCCTACTCAATACAAGTATACCATAATCTTCCCAATTTTAAATAAATGTTATAAAATTAATATTTAAAAAAAAATATATTTAGTTATCCATTCAAGGGAATGCCATTCAACAAATCCTTAAGTATGTACATATTTTTTTTAAAAAAAATAATAAATTCTTTTTCTTACGAATAGTATTGCTAATCAAGTCGTTCTTCTGACCACCAATAAAATTTGTGGTTAAGTCATAACCCCCAAAACTCGAGCTACCCAAATTAGTCGACTAAGCTCCAATATATTTTATTATCAATTTGTAGCGCTGATATATCTCTTATTTTTGGGGAAAAAAATGATAATCTTATATATATATTTTTTAAAAGAATCCTTTCGGGGTTTATAAACGTATGCATCGTTTAAGTAGTCGACTAAATTGGTTGAATAATCGAATAATTTGGTTGTTCGGGGTTGGAGTCAATTTTTCAACCCTAAACCTCTACTTCAGTCACGTTTTAGTCAATTAAGCTTTTAGTCGTTCGACAACACTAATTATGAATGTAAATATTTCTCCTTTAAATGCGTTATATTTATCATCGCGATTAAAAAATATTACTCATTTGATGCCAAGAGCAATCAGGGCAATCCATAATTTTACTTATAGTAACATTTTTTTTTTGTGTAAAGGTCAATTGCCAGGCGCTAAATTTAGCAAAGTAGGCACGCTTGATTTGGAGGAAATAGGCAAGTTCAATAATATCCCGATATACGATGTAAATTTGGAAGAGCTCGAGGACAAGCCATGGAGAAAACCGGGTAATAAATAAAATATTATGCTTTGAACAAAAAAAATATAATAATGCTTTTAAATAAAAATAGTAGCGTTCCTAATGGCAAAAGGATGCTGAAGTGTAAAAAGAAAGAAAGAAAGGAGAGTAAATGACGTAGGAACCGATCAGGTTCAAATCAGGAGTTTACTAAAATTTTAATATTTTCTGATTTATTTATCTTAAGAGATTATTTTTTAGGGGCCTTCTGAGCGCACATTTGTGCTAGAAAGTTTTTTAAATTTATATATATATGTTTAGGAGCAAGTCAAAAAATAATATAATATATATAATTTATTATTAATCTCTCTAGGGGCCGACATTACCGATTACTTCAATTATGGCTTTACAGAAGAAACCTGGAAACTTTATAGTGAAAAACAAAAAAATATGCGAACAGAAAATGACGCTTTCGAAAAAATTAGACACGTTATATATAATATTTTATTTATTTTATAAAAAATTATTCAACCTTGAAATTTGCAAACGAATTAGGTATATTATGAGTAAAACAATTATGTTGTTAATGTTACTGGTAATACCACAAATTAAAGAGACTGGCCTGGTAGGGCTGATGATTAAATCAAATTGAATAAAATCACGATTTTAATTCTCCTTTATAACAAAAATATTTATAGATTTTTTTTAATTAAAATTTTTGATTTCATCTTTGAAAGATATTTTTTATGCCATAAAAATTACAAAAAAGATAATCTTGTAAAAGATTTTAGCATTATCAGATAAAATTTGATCAAAAATCTTTCTCCTTCTTCAAAAAAAGGAAAACCTTGCCTTAATTAAAATTATGTTTTTTTATTATACCTCATTTAACTATATTTCACAATAATTTTATATGTTGTGGTGTGTCAATCCTAATTTTTTTTTGGTATATTAAACTCTTATGTTATATTTTTTAAATTTAATTTAATTATATGTACCTTTTAATAAATGTTGATTCATTAAAGATCAATTTCACATAGTTTTATAAAAATTAAATTAAAATAATCAACCTTTATTAACGTTTAAAATTTTATTTTACAGTCATAAATTATTTTTAAGATATAATTTTTTGGTTTAAAAATTTTTAAGGAAGGAAGAAAAAAAACATGTTCGAAATGTGAGCATGATTGAAAAATACTCATTAGTTAATTTTATCTAAGGGTGGGTGTAGTTTAAAATTATTTATTTAATATTATATTTAATTATAATCGAAAAAATCTTGACTTAATCGTTTTTTTATAATAAAATATTCTGATTTTTGCCAATCCTTTGGCTTAGTATGGATGGCTAAATCACACCTTACTGTGAAGTCTATTCTAAAACGGCACATCGAGGTTTAAACCAATTTAGCCACCCTAAACTGGTGCGCAGATCAATGTATTCAATTAAATTTCTCATGGGGTTAATATAATACTGTATCGTCTTTATTTTATTTTTTTTTTACAACCTCGGGAATTTATTAGCGAAAAAAAAAATTTTAAATGATTTTTTTAAATTTTACAAATTTAATTTTATATAAACTTATTTTTCTCGAAATAAACAATTTTTAGATGATACCCGGCGAATTTATGAAACCTTTCCTCATTCCCGTTCAGATGCCTATGGGTAAATTTTGATTTATACATTTTATTCATGTTATTTGTCAAGGTTCTGAATTGAAGCGAAACACTACCCGGGTCTGAGTTTTATAATGCGCACAAATTGGGCTTTGGCGTTTTACTTTCTGTTAGTATCGTCGATTTAAAATTTTAACTAACGCTTGCATTTATAGTAAACGCGTTTTGTTCAAGCGGTGCGGATTATAATACTGCTTTATTTACAAAATTAAACCTATAAATAGGTATAATTTATAAATATGGAGCGAAACGATGAAAACGCTATGATAAAATAAGAAAAAAATATGTTGCTAATGTAAATTTAGAAAATTATTATCGCTGTGAAGAAACAGCTGTGATTCCGATAGAGTTAAATACCGCACCGCTCGACCAAATCGCGTTTACACGAGACCCTTGGTTTTTGTAAATTGTATTATCGTCTGCCTTTTTATTTCATTAATTTCTAAATATTCCGTTAAAAAAGATAAATTATATTTATTTTACATTTTTTATAATATTAAATTTAATTTACACAAACAACTAAGAAAGGATTTATATTTTTAGTGCCCCCCCCCCCTTTCCTCTGCCATTATTCTTATCTGGTTAACAAGATTTTGTCGGCTTTTTTGCTAAAAAAACCTAGTTCTTGAAGAAATTAGACCAACATGCTAAATAAGTGAATAAAAGATTTTTGGGAAAAGCAAATTAGTTTGCGTTTTTTAAAAAATATTTTCCAACGCCCTTGTGATTATTGAAATGCATTAATTTGCGTTTGCAAGGCAACATTTGAAACGCACAATTTGTGCTCATTATAAGATACTATCTATACCGACCACTAAAAACCAGCCAATTTTTCTGAGCTTGGATCCTGTAGTCATTTTAAGGATTTCTCTTATGTTCAAATTCTATTACCACATAATTCATTCTTTGATTTTTTTTTTTGATACTTTAAAATATTCATATTTATCAATTTTAATGATTTCTTTTAGTTCCAAGGAAAATAATAAGTAAAATACCCCCTTTATGCTTCTTATTAATAATACCATTTATATGATATACTTTATTATATATATACACCATCTTTTAGAAGTTAAATGACACTTTAAGAACAACTGAACACTCGATAATTTGTTTTTTAGTTTTAATATTTACATTATATATATATTTTTTTGAAATTGATCAAACCAAGTTAATCAACCGCCGGGTGAAATTTCGAACGAGATTAAGTCAGAAAAAACGGATCTCAATGCTTCGACCTATGATGCAGCCATTAGTAATGATCACGGTGGGCTCACAACGATAGCCCCCGAACATGCCAAAGAAACGGAACAGTATCATATCTTACATTTAATAACCAGGGAGGGGGATATCCTAGGAAAAAGAATTACAGGAATTTTTTGGAAAAATATATCGATTTTTTTTAAAAAAAATATTTAAATCAACCAATTTTATTCTCGTTAATATTCTATTCGTTATATATTTTTGGCGAAATGATAGTTTTGTTCTTGTTAGTATAAATTTGAATTTTTCGAAAGAAAAATAAAATCAATCTTACAAACACTAACCTGACAGCTAGTGTTGTTAAACGGCTCTTGAGCCTTTTTTGAAAAAATGGCTAATTCAATATTTTATCCAGAAAAATATTACACAAGTCTGAAGACAATGCTCATGGATGCCACAAAGGTCTAGACATCTATTAGCGAAATCTCGAGGTGAAAATATTTTTCTGGCTAAAATATTGAGTTAACATTTTTTAAAAATAGGCTCAAATCAATCGAGCTTTTTAACAACACTACTGTCAGCAGTCCATCGAAAAACTACGTTTTAAAAATTTTAAATTATTTTAAAAAATAATATTTATTATAATGAATGAAAACTGGAATTTTTAATGAATATTTATGATAATTTAATTCTAAAGTTCCGAAAATTTGTAATAAAATAAGATTAAGTTTTCATAATTTAATTTTTTGGAGCGTTTCCAAAAAAAAATTTCCTAATAACCGCTCCGTTCTCGCTCCGGAATTTTCTCCAAAGTACCTTCCCTCGTCCAAGTCCCTTATCAATTCAGTAACTTATAATCAAAATGTTCTTTCTTTTTTTTTAAAAAAAAGTTATCAAATTGATAAAGAGTAGGAATATTTAATTAACGCTTGAAAGCTTTAATACTAATTTCATAGGCTCAAAAAATATTTGCTACCTATTTCCGTTATATTTTATTTTTTACCTCCTGAAAAACTGAATAAAATAATATTTAGAAGAGGCAATTTTGACAGATGATAATAATTTAAAAAAAATTGTTTATTAAAATCTATTTTAATCTTCTCTTTTTTTAAAATTTTTATTAAGATCAGCACAAACCTCTTTTATTACTTTCTTATTCTTGTTTTAGAAAAATGCATTTTTGCTACAATTATATATCATGCATAAACTAATTTTTAAGTCGCTTCCCTCCCCCGCATCAACTGACTGGTACTCCATTGTATCAAAAACATGGTGGCCCTCAAATGTCTTTACCCCCCGTGAGTTTTGACCCTACGGTACCACCTCCATCTCTACCACCTATATCGATATCTTCCTTACCTCCATCCATCATACCACATATGAATATCCCACCACCCGGTTATCCACCTCCAGCCTTTTTGCAACCTGATGGTAACTTAAATATGCACGTATCTTTCATAATTATTTACCTTACTCTACAAAAATAATTAAAAAATTTGTTTACGGAAATATGGATGAGTTATCATATTAGAAATCTTTTAAATACGATAATATTAATATTTCTAAAACATATAACCAAAATAAACCTATACGATGTAGATTAAGCCATAAGATATCAATTATCCAATTCGTATAGTTAAGACTGAATGTCATTACACATTATATTGTCTTATCACCTCTACTCTAGGTCACTTCATTCCACCACCGCATCACCTACTTTCCTCGGTCCCACCGCAGTACATGGGTCTTCCCCCGCCTTCGGTGCACCATCCTCTCGCTGGTTTAGCACCTCGTTCTCACCATCCATCACATCACGCTCCTTATTACGACCACTTAAATTCGCACATCAGGCCCCCTCGTTCTTACCGCCCTGCCAGGCGTTATTATTATGGTGAGGAGGATGAATATAAAGAGGAACGGGAAGCTTTCAAAAGGAACTTCCGACGGGATAGGGAATACGAGGAAGAACAAAGGAGGAAGTACAGCAAGAGACGGACTAGGAAAGAGGATGAAAATGAGGAAGGGGGTGGCGAAAATTCTGACGACCCCAATGTTAATGCGAAGGAAGGTAGGGAAGAAAAAGCTCGAAAAACGGGAAAGGCTGGATCTAAGCAAGGAGAAGAAAGCGAAGAGGAACAAGACAGAAGACCCGAAGAAGAAGGTGAATTAAAAAACAATTGTGAACCTGTTATTTTTTAATTTGTTGAAAACGGTCCGCCATTTTATTTAAGTATAGTTTTTACTAATTGGATAACATCCCTGTTTTAATCAGGACCAGGTTCTGACAGCTCCACAACCTGAAAAATTTGCTGCATTTGCATTCAGATCAAGTTTAGAAAAACTAAATGGAATCTAGTTATTTCATTCTCCAAAATCGGCTCCTACTACAGTCTTTCAAGGAAAAAAAATCCCGATTATGAAGGTGTCTGAATCTGCATGGTTGAAATTCACGATGTTGTGTATTTAACATTTTTTAAAATTTCGCCAATATGTATGATACCCTTTTAAGTCACCATTTTTGAAATCCATTTATTTCGATGTTATTGCATAAAAATAAACATGGTTTAAATTGCTATCACATTTTATTATTTTTTTTCGCGAGAAATAGAAGATTTTAATGAGATAAGAAAATATTTATTTTAAATAATACATGCTATATATCCAGTGAACTTCCCACTAAAATTGCTTGCCGCTGTTGAGGTTTTCTTTTTACTATATATGTTTTTTGATCCAAGTTTGGATGCAAGAAAAAAGGCATCTTATAAAGGTGGCTATATGAGCTTTTCTGATCTTGCATTGATATAAGTGTTATATTCGTTTGCATGATAACAATATAAAGATAAATAATGTGTGTTTTAGATGTCGAAGACGCCGAAGAAGTAATGGGCAAAAGGGAAGAGGAACCGCCAAAGAAACCCCAAAAGACTCGTCGAAAGGCTGCCACCGAAAAAGAGTGATCAATTTGTTTTTTTTGTTTTAGCCATCGAGTGTGTTTTAAGGCAAAAGGAAATGTAAGCGAGTGTGGTTAGGTTATATCTGTTATATCCCATTCAAATTTATTTCTTACATTTTTTGATATTTTTAGACATTTTAACAAATTTAACTTTTAAAATTAATTTTATAAAATCTTAAATAATTTGAAGATTTATTAATTAAAATAAAAATTTCGTTAGAATTATTTTTTTAGAGATAGGAAACATAGTTTAGCATAATAATAGGAAGCTCCTGAAAAACCAGGGCATAAATATCGACAGCTATTGTAGTATCAATTTATAAATCTCGGGATGTTGAATAGTGTTGTTAAACGATCGAGATAACTCAATATTTCATCCAGAATAACCTGAAGATTTTGCTTGTAGAAGGAACAAAGGTTTGGACATCTATTAGCGAAATCTCGTGGCTTAGGCAATATTTTTCTGGGTAAAATATTGAGTCAGCCGTTTTTAGAAATCGGCTCAAAACGAGTCGGTTAACAACACTAGGTAGTGGGTTGAATTATTCAAGGGTTAAATATTTTTATTTTGTTTGGTTTCAATTAATCGATAATTAAAAACGGAAATTAAAATAATTTAATCATTGTTACAAGATTAAGATTGTCATGCTTTCCTCTTATATTTTTTGATAATATAGCATTTGAAATTTACATAATATCGGTGAATCCTTTTTTTTAAAAAAAAAAATAAATAAAAAATAAAATTTATAATTTGTTTATATTACTCATATCTATTAAGTGCCGCTGAAGATGACCTAGAAAAATCTGGAAGCGAGATTAGCGCCGCCGATAATGATGACGCCCTCTCTAAGAGCAAAGCTACACCCAAAAGGTCCACGAGGGCCGACGAACAATATTCGGAAGTCAGCAGCAAGGAGAGATCGGGTAAAATTGTTATAGATTTTTTTTTAATGATATACACAATCTAATGAATGGTTCAGTCCGCTACTTGCTTATAGAGATCTGTAAACAATGGTATATATTCTTTTTACCACTATAAAGACCAATCACAGCTTCTAAAATATTATAGGTAGAGCTACATTTTTATTTATTTTGTAGATGAGGGATTTTTGACTATATATGAATCTATAATTTTCTATGTTTTGTTTGTTTAAAAATTTTATGACAAAAATGCAAAATACCAATCGTTTTACCCCGGTCTCCCCTACTCATCACTGCACTGAAGACAGACGGAACTTCTTTTTTTATTCTATCAGAGAAAAGATTTATTCATTCTTTATTAAAAATCTTCTTTCTTATATCCCCTATAAATTTCGAATAAGAAAAAAGGCACAGAGACCGAAGCGAGGTGGAAAGGGAGCCCATTCACCGCCACAACTCTCACTATTATTACGGACCTCCGGCTCATCAACCTACTCAATACAGCTCTTATAGGAGGGCGGGCGATTATTTTAAACACAGCAATGCTCCATAGTAAAAATTGATAATATTTTTTTTTTGAAGAAAGGAATAAATTTAGAATAAGGTGACGGAGGGGAGTATGGCTATTTTTTTGGATGCATGATCTAGATTTTAGATTTATACTAAGCGGTCCATTTGATCGTGGATGGTAAGGGCATTATACATTTCATATATTCTAGTCGTATTTCCTTTTTTAATTTTGTTTTCCACGCAAATCAGATCGGTTTGCTTTTAAGTTGAAAGTTGGGATTAAGTTTTACGTTCAAACTTACTTAAAAAACCTTCAGTTAGCCTATTTTTATATATAATGATGATTTTTTCATGATATATAATATTATTTTTTTTATAATTGATTGAAAATATACATGTACCTATAATATCAATCATTGAATTATTATAAGATTTTAATAATATTCGTTCTTGTTACGGGTATTCCTAAACGACTTACGTCTGTCACATTCAAAATGGATATTGGCCATCATGTGTCATTTGAAATTTTTTTTATATATTTTTAATTTATAAATGATTTCACCTCAAAAACTTTCTCGCGACCCCTCCTGGACATCTATCCTTTAAAAACATTCTTTTTTACTCCTTTTGTATACTTTAATGTCCTTTGATAATGCAATTTTAACAAATTGCATTTAAATTTGGGTATCCTGGTTTTCTGACCCGCAGCTATAACAGATAATTTTCGATATTTTATTTCCGGCTAATGTTTTCATGGAATAATAACTTTCGAAAGAGTGATTTGCTCATCATGTGACGCTTCTGCTGCCGTCATCGGTAAGCACAAAGTAATTTTACTTTGAGTCCAATATTTGCTAATATAACCTTTTTTATCCTCACTTTACTGTATTGAATATTTATTAAAATTTAAACGTTAAAATAAGTGGATTGCGCCATGATCTACATATGAACTATTTATGATTTTGAATACCTTATTTTTGATATATCGATCACGTATAATATATATATGTTTTCACAAGTAACAATATAAATAAATAACAACGAATACAAGGTTGATTTAATATATTTATGTAAATTTACATTAACTTTTCTATTCTATTACACGTTCTTTCTTCCCTTCCTTTCCTCCTTCCCTCTACAAAATATTTATTTTTGATAAAAAAGCTACGATCACTCTTACCCACCCCCAGAACCTCCACAAATGGTGCACTCTGGTCAACCATATCCATACGATTCTTATCAGTATAACAAGCCGATAGTTGTAACCAGGAATACCAAGGAAATTATCCCTTCAAGGCGTACTAGAGACGATAGTAGACAGTAAAATATCTTTACATTTACCCCCCTCTCCCATAATTTATTTTTTGAATATTCAGAATTTTTTTTTTATACAACTAATTTATTTTAAGCGATTATGTCAATCGATGTAATTAGCTAGAAGATTCTTTGGTAACAATAGGTTCCCACATTTTATTTCATAATGGACCCAAATAAGGTAAATTGATAGATATCACGGGTTTGGGCTGGACCTAATATTTTAAAAAATATTTTGGGCCGGGTCGGGCGAAAAATTAGGCCCGATACAGATCACTAGTATACACTATCCTTATTTTCTATAGAAATGTTTTTTTCTTCATTTAAGGAAAAATTTATGAAAGTTTAGGTTCAGCTAAATTATAAAGGTTCATTGCAGCTATATAAAATATTTTTTAAGATTATTTTTACTTATATTATCAACGAATAATATTTTTTTTATATTCGAACCAAACTACTCAAAATAAAAAAGAGAATTAAGATTTTTTTGAGAACACTCATGCAGGTATTTTATAGAAATCTTGCCCCAAAATTCCAAATATTCTTTGATAAAAAAAATCCGCAATTTTATTTATCTTCAAAGATTTTTGCGTAAAATTTTGGACCAAAATATCGTTACCAGAAAAGCTTTTACACACCATCCCCTCCTCCCACCCCCCGGATTTGTATATTTTTTAGCCACTTTTTTTGAGGCATTTTTAACAAACGCTTTTTGTTTTAACAGCAGGCGGAGAAGCAAGAGGGAAAGTCGAAGCCGGAGCCATGGTAAGCATAAAAAAGTTGTCTCTTCATCTCATCGTAGAAGTTCCAGCAAAAAAAGGAGTAAAAGGCACAAAGAAAAATCGAGCAAATCTAAGCGTTCCGTATCCGAAGATTCTGGCAAACACCACGAAAGGAAACGGGCTCGAAAGAAAGAACGGTTTTTTTTAAGAAAAGAATCTTTTAAAATTGATTGGTCAAAAATTAAAATATAATTACACTTTATGTCTATTTAGCACCTTTAAAAATGATAGGAGCTAGCGGGATCACTGATTATACACATCCTACTTTTTTTAAAAAAAATATGATTTTATTAGAAGTGTGTCTTCCTCATCTAAATATAACAAAAGGCGAAGCAAAAAATACGAAAGCAGAAGCCGACGAGATTATGACGATGATTACGAACGGTATGCGTTACAAATTAAGAGATAATTTTTTTTTTTAAATAATAAAATTCAAGGAATTTATCTTTTATTAGGCTATCAAAAAAGTGTTTTATTTTTTACCTTTTTTTGGGGCGCTTTTTGAAAAGTATCTTTTTAGTTTTGCCAGAAATATAATCTAGCATGGAGTACTTACCCCATGACTTCTCTTTTACTAACTTTTAACAAATACCATTTTTAAAAAGCGGGATTGTATAGGATTTAGATCTCATTACCTTAGCAGCTTGAATTTTTTAGGTAAATTATGCCATATTTAATTTCCGATTTATTTGGGTTCCCTTTTTTTAAAGCAAATCTGGCAAAATTATATCGAGCGCTCCTGACATAGACAAGCCTCGCACTCTATCCAAAACCAAGCTTTCCCTCGAGGAGAAATCGGCCACATCGAGCGGCCCCGAATCCAATTCGACTCACCACAAAAAAAGCGAAAATATTTCATCGAACGACGCCAAAACGGCGGAAGGTAAAAAAATGGGCAAAGGTGGTAAGAAAAAGGTTAACGAGACTAGTTCCGGTGATGGTTCGACGACTTCTTCGGAAGAAGAAATAAGTCAATCGGGGTCACCTTGAAATTAATTATTTGCTTTTCCTTTTTTTTGTACACCATTGTGAAACGCCAATAATTTCCTATAATTCTTGATATATAATATTATATTTTTGAAAATGTGTATATTTATGTATTTTTCTTCTTATGTACATTGAATATTTCAAAATGCAAGATATTTTTTTATAAAGAAAAATTACAATAACATTAAATAGGATTTAAACATACTCCAGGTTTTTATATAAATGTAGTTAAAACTTTTTTTACGTCATCCATAAGGGTAAAAAAAATATTTTGGGGAAATATATTTATTTTAAAAAAATATTTATTTAGACGACAAATATTTTTCTATATACCAACTTCTCATTACTTTTAGGGGATTACAATTATTGATATTTAAGAAAACTTTAATAAATCCAATTTTCAGATTTACCATTTATCAAAGCTCTTTCCTATATCCTTTTATATTTAACCAAAATTTTCTTTTCAAATTTTATTTAGAATCAATATTGTCCACCAATTAAGTATGTGAGTGAATTTATATCTATTAAAATTTATTAAAACTAGGGCGAAATAAGAAGGAATAATGGAAAAACATTTCTTTTTTTTGGTGCTTGCAAAGTAGGGGAAAAGTAAACTTTACAAACTCATTGTTTTTGAGAATATATAGCATAAATTTATTTCTATTAGTTGTATTTTATAAGTAGTTAGCATCTTTTGCATATAAGATAAACCTTCAAATTATGATCAATTGATATAATACAATTACGAATATAAATAAATATATAGTCATGCTAATTTTATTATTTTAAAAATATCGAAATGTTCAAATAAATCTTGAGTGAAAAATATAAATATGATATTTTTAAAGCTTAAGGTAAAGTTTGGTGACTATGAGTGGTAAAAAAATAATAATGCAGCATTATAATTGCTTTATTTAAAGAATAAATAAATTCGCGAATAAATTATTTAAGTTAAACATTATCTAATTTTGAAGGCAAAAATTTCTAATAATTTTATAATTTCAAATATAGAAATTTTTTTAGAATAATAATTCTTCAGTCCAGTTAATACTCCAAAATTTTCTTAATATACAATAGCGAATATAACAATCGACTTAGTTTTTTTAAAAAAAATATGTTTTGGTTTCCAAAAAAGGGTGCATAAACAGTCGTTTTTTTGTGGTAGCATTAACTGCTTGGTTTACTAGACTCGGTCCGCCATTTAAACTTAGCTGGGACGGAGGGAGGAGGTTTTTTAGCAGTCAAGTAATGTTGGTAGTTAGCATCTTTATTCATAGAATAATTATCGGTAAAATGGTGACCGTTGAAGGCTTGAGGTCTATCCACGTATTGATTATGGTCCTTGAGACTGTAAGGATTCGAGTTATAAGAAATATAAGTGCTGTTATCTTTAACCTTGGGACTTCTGAGAGTGGCGTAAAGTTTGTCCAAGCCACACTCAACTTCCAACTCTTTGATTTTCCTATTTTTTTGGGCCACCTCATTTTCAAGCTCAATAATTCGCCTATTTTTGAGGCTTATCTCCATTCGATACCCACGATTTTCCTCCTGAATATGTTGGAAAAAATGAATTTAAAGCAAGATTATAAAGATGCAAATTATAGAAAAAAAATGCATTTGATGGGTGTATATAAAAACATTGACATACCCTTAACTCGTTGCAAAGTGCTGTGGCCTCTTCGACATACGGGGCTGGAGTGGTCAAAGCGCGATGTTCTACTATTTTGTGCCTTTCGTTTCCGGATAATAAGGTCGTGGTGAGGTTACGGTTTGGTGAAGGATCTTCGGCTCTCCCGTCACCAGCCGCTCTAGTTCTAATGGTTCGTGGTGTATGAGTAGTTACCCTCATGCTTTCCGATTTTCTTCTCCGCTCACCTCTATCCATATTATTATCCCCTTTATCTAAGTTAATGGATACATGTATAAAAGGTGTTCGAATAATTAATATAGTATATTTCTTTATTATAATTTATTTGAAGGATTATTGTTTAAAATCTTAATATTTTCAATCTTGACAAATATTATTATATCTGTAAATGATGACTGACTTTCTTATATATGATGTATACAAAAAATTAACTTTACCTCTATTGCGCGGGTCACTACGTCTGTCGGGTAGACCACCGCTTGAGGGTTCGAAAAAGGCACGGTAATTAGAGTTCTGAGCTAATGTATTACGAGGGGATGTCGAGCGTTCAAAATCCGAAAAGACGGGGCTCATTGAACCAGTAGTACTTAGAGAGCTAGTCCCAGGCGAAAGTAATATGGAGGAAGGAGCAGTAGCTATAGTTGATATGGTATGATTGGAGATCACATCTGTTGGCTTGTGAAGAATTTTGTGTTCCGTCGAGTGAGCTTACAAGAAAAAATAGAGATGAAAAAATTTTATAAAGTTAAAAAAGAAAAATCACTAATATCTAATTTTTTTCAAAATTATAAAGTTAGCAAGAAAACAATGCTTCTAAATTAAGCCGGTATCCAGCGGTCCTGTGGCCATTCAACCGGCATTATTAACACCGGCTAATTATGAGGATAATACGATTGTTCCGATAGTTCCAATAATATAAGCAGAGGCCGCTGATACTTGTTTTGGCGGCTTCGAGATCATATGAATGATAACTTAACCAAAATAAATCAATTTGATTTACCTGTTTTGGGGAGTTCCTTGGAATATTTAATGTGGGGCGAGGAGGAACGATTGGATCGATTAGAAGAAGATGTAGGAGATTCTGAAGTCAGGGGAGGGGATACTGTCGAGGACTCTTCCTTCGCTAAGGTTGCATGTGTGCCTCTTGGGTGACTTCAATATGTTTATATATATCCAAAAATTCAATTGAATTTGAAAATAACTTAATCTATCTCGAATTTTATGAAAAATTTAATTGTCTAAAATTTTCCACGTTTATGTTAAAAGAAAAATCTTCAAGTATTTAAAAGATTTTTTTATTGCCCAAAATCTTATATATATATTTTTTTTAAATTTTACGATTTCCCAGAAAATTTTTTAATCAAATATCGTAAATCTTAAGATTTATTATTTTAAGGAGTTTGTTAACGCCCTGGTACATACGATGATACTTTAAAGTAAGATCTACCAGCTTATTAAAATAAAATTATTACTCACTCTATGGGCTTCAGTGCCTTTTTATTATCCTCGAGTATTGTGGGAAATGGGCGATCTTTAAAATGGTCTTTGTTAGTGTTAAGACTACTCTTGGACGATGATATGGAAGGGGGAAAGGAACACCGCTTGTTGGTTGTCGAAAGACCTTCCCGATTAATCTGGCTTAGAAAGAAGGGCATGCCAGGGGAAGATTTATTTCGCTTTTAAAAAAAAATGTTTATAATTTGTAAATGCATTAAAATTTGCCGACGGTAAATAATAAATCCAAGGCTTTTCATTTTTTTCTTATCAGTTTATTCTTTCTCTCTTTTCTTCTTTTTTTTTTCACTTTCTCGTTTTAAAGCTAAATTAAAAATTAAACTTCTTTCTTTCTCTTTTTCGTTTTATAAGGCTAAATTAGCAATTAAGCTTTACAAACCTCTTTAGTATTGAAAACATTGCCATTGGTCAACTTTTTGCCGAGGCTCTCATTGACAAAGGATTTGGCCTTATCCTTAACCGTGGTTGATATGAAAAAGGGTTTCGTATTTTCCCGAAATTCGATGTCTCGCTGTTTAGCAGGAAGATTTTTAGGTAAAGTGTTGTAATTCTTGACATTTTCCTTTGAGTCCCTTTTACCGTCGCCATGAGATAGAATACCTTGATTGGTTAGTTTATTTTAATAACATATAAAAAATTTAGTGTGGCGTAAACAACAAAAAATGGTTCTGATCCGGCATACCTAGAGGCGTGAGTTTACTCATTACCCCCCCCCCCCCCCCCATTTTCCTTGAGGTTGAGCTATCTTTTCGGAAAAAATTTTCAAGGCAGGGACGATAAGGCTAAAAAATTTGCTTTTGCCATTTTTGAAATCGTTTAAAAATGCAGCGATTAAGAATCACCAATTATATGGCGTTAATTTCAATCATTGCATTAATAATTTTTAGAGAAATGATTATGATATTCACCTTATTAGTGGATAAAATAAATATAAAATAATATATATATGTTCACATCAATATGCTTTTTTTGGTCAGTGTGTTTTTCTTTCAAGTTTAAATCATTTTTAGAGCTCATATATAAAAATTCAATTTCACCGGAAATGTAGTTTCAGCCTGTTAAGCATACCTACCCTATGAACTTTAAGCAATCTTGCCGATATAATTTATAAAAAATATCTATGAAAAAACAAATATAAATTATATTGAGTATTACAAATTTACTAAAAATCAAAGTAGGGGTTTTATGAACATGACGGAATTTATTTCCGCTAAAATCAGATTATTTAAAAAAAATAACATATTGATGCTAAGATATATTTTATTAATGATAGTTAATTTATTTAAGAGATTATGGAAGGCATGAATGAAGTTCACTAAAAGTAAAGTTCATAAAAAAATTGTCTAAAATATATTAGGTAAGTTATTCCAAAAATAATGAAATACATTTCCGGTAAAATCAAGTTATTTATATTTAAAAGATTATGGAAGGCAAGGAAGTTCACTTCACTAAGGTAAAATTCATGGAAAAATTGTCTAAAATTCATGGGGTAGGGTATTCCAAAAATGATGAAATACATTACAGGCAAAATCAGATTTTTAAGTTTAAAAAAAACGCGCTTAAAGTTGAAAAAAATAACAAATTGCATTTGGAATATAAAATTTTAAAAAGAAAAAAGGTCAAATAATAATTAGAGAAAATTAATGCTAAAAATTAAAAAAAAAATTATATTAAGTTGCCAAAATAAAATTAGAATACTTATAATGGAAAAAAAAGTTAATAAAATTATAAGGAAAGATTAATAAAATAATAAAGTTTTAAGGTTAATCTTAAAATGAATAAGAAATAAAATTGTATTTTAACTTCAGTTAAGCCAAATAAAGTTTATATATATATTTTTTTTAAGTTAATTTTCTATAATCAAAAATAAAAACTTTTGTAATAAAGCTTGATAAGCTGCTCTAAAACTTTTCCAATGCAAAAATAATAGGAGACAAAATTCTCATTTTTCCCCCTTTACGTTGAAAAAAGTAAAATAAGGATGCGAGGCCTAATATATAAATCATACTTATAATAATAAGATTAAGAGTACGCTGATGTTAAACGGCTCGATTTTTAAAAACGGGTAACGCAAGATTTTAGCCAAAAAATATTACGCAAGCCTAGAGCTTTTACTCACAGATGGTAGAAAGGTTTGGACATCTATTAGGGTAATCTCGAGGATTACTTAATATTATTTTAGTGAATATCTTAATTTCCGTTCATGCCTCATTGCCAAATTACAGTGCTGAGTGATTGAAATAAGTATTTAAAATATATTTATGGATTCAAATAAATAATAGGGGTTGGTTTGCCCCCTTATAGTGTTAACCCCCAGTAGCTCAGACCAGACTTCTAAGATAAACCAGACTCGCAGAAGCACCTATTATAGAGTCGTCAGATTTGAATCAAGCCCGCGACCCTATCTATTTTTGACCAATTTATAAGTCTGATTTAAAAAAAATTCGCTATTTTTGACAAGTAAAATTGAAGAGCCAATGAAAGAAGATTGTTATTTAACCAGGGTCTCTTACGAACCAATAGACGAATTAAGTATCCCTCCCCTTCTTTAAATACAAATACAATAAGAAATAGTGTGTTATTAAACGGCTCGATTAAGTGTGATTTTAAATTAAGATTTTACCCCCAAAATAATATTACGCAAACCTCGAGATTCGGTTAATAAATGTCCAAACCTTTCTATCCATCTATGAGCAAAACGTTCCAGGTTTGAGTAATATTTTTGGCTAAAATATTGGGTTAGCCGTTTTTAAAAATCAAGTAGTCGTTTAACGATACTAGACATCCATTTTATTATTTATACATATAAAAAAATTCATTCTTCGTAAATTGTTAAGATTCTGATCAAATTCACTATTTTTTTCATAAAGATCAGAGCCATTATATTAAAGAAAATATTGGAATGAGAAGAAGAAAAGTTAATGCTTTTTAAAATGAAAATAGCAAAAAAAAAAATTTGTTATAAACGCTCGAGGAAAATAAATAAAATTATGTAGAAGTTAACACAAAATAACCGGCCGCCATTTTAATGTGTAAAAAAATAAAATAATAGAAAGAAAGCATTTTACAATTAAACAATCAAAAATAAAGAAGCCAATTTAGAAAACTAAGAATGTTGCCCAAATTTTTTTTTTTTAAAAAAGATCAAGTGGTTTTATTTTTTGTTGAAAATTTTGTATCTCTTATTTAAGAAACCTTTGTAAACGTGTCCTTCTGTATCCATCGATTCCTCGTTTTTTTTGTCCAATTCCGCTTTTTTGAGGGCCACCAATTTGATTTGCCTGAGTCTTTGAATGTCTTGTTGTAGTTTGGCAATTTCATCAGATTCGTATAACATTTCTTTTTATTATAATTTTATGGATTAGAAAACGGAAATGAATAATCTTTGGAAAAAAATTGGAATTTGAAATTTACAAGGAGAGAAAAAAAACCCCAATTAAAAATTCATTTAACACTTCCGTGTTATTTTAAATCTATATTGAAATAAATATGGCAGCCTGATTTTTTTTTTTTAATTAATGAGTTTTCATATAATAATAACTCAAACTTAATGTGCGCAATTTTATGGATTTTTATACACTAATATCTGAGTTATTAATGCTTTTTATAAAAATCATAAACCATTTGTTATCACAATATATCAAATTAAAATTTTATCTTAGAATATGTTCTTATAGCTCAAACGGGTTAATGTTTATTATGTGGAAAGTTAAAATTTGCTACGTTTTTTTAAACTTTGGCCTACTAGAAGTCTGTGGTGGATTATAACAAGCCTAAGCCTTAGGACCATAATTAACGTAGATAAAATCAAGCAGATAGTAAAAAACTTGTATGGACCAAGTAGAATACCTGAGATTTTATTTGAAATTGTTTTTTTTAATACAGATTGTTAAAGTTATTTTCGGGAATTCCCCCCCCCCCCCTGGATTACACCAAAACTAACAGTTCTTTAGAAATAATATTTTACAAGTTGTAAAAGATATTTTATAAGCTTCAAAGGAGACTTACAAGTTTTAAAAGATATTTTACGAGTTTTTAAAAGGATTCTTAACAAATTTTAAAAGCCATTTTACAAGTTTTAAATAAAATCTCAGGAGGGAAATTGTATAAACAAACATAAATTTTTAAACTTTTTTCATTTTTATGGCCGTCCTCTCTGACGCTCGTATTTAAATCAGAGGCGGACGATGAACAAAGCCGGGAAAGCGGAATGGTAGGCAAGTGTAATTTTTTTGGGGTGATTTCATCTTTTTTCTTGGATTTCTCGTGCAGCTCATATTTGGAAGGTTCTTCGAAGATTGGAGACGCCCGATTCAAAAGTGCAGCCGTTTTAGTAACCTTCACCGGTTGCGCGATGGGTTTGACGGAGAGGAGAGTAGCCGGTAAAGGTGGGAGATCATTTAAAATACTAGGAGACCCATTTTCCGTTCTCTCGTTTCCCCTGAGAATAAATTTGGATTTCAGGACTCCCAGTTGGGATAAAGGCTTTTGACCGGGCTTAGGGGGAGGTTCTTCGGTATACGAGCCGGCAAAATTCTTAATAATAAATAAAAAATATAAAACTATAATACCAGAGTTAGCGTTATCTATCGAAGACCCGAATAGGGATTTTTATTGACCCCAGAGAATAGATAAAATTAAGAGGTAATTTTATTGATAATTATTAATTTATTTTTTTTAAAAACGTAGATAGCAAATATTTTTCAAGAATAACAAATAAATATAATACGTAAATATTATCGTTACCTTAAGAGAAACCAAGAGGGGATTGCTATTTTTTCCCGAAATCCATTCGCTAGCTTGCAAAGCGGGTCTCGGACTGGCCGTCGGTGGATACAAATCTTCCTGGTAAACAGAGCTCTGATAAAAAAATAAATAATATCATATTAATTCTTTAATTGATTTACTATAGATGTTCCTTAAAATGATTATTAGATACAAATCACCATAACATAAAATTATCATTAATTTATTTTATTATATAACTCCCCGATTAATTGATCGCTCGCACTCAATTAGGACAATAGATAGCACTTTTCAATTTTATTAAATAATTTTTTAAAATATACATTAATCCTAACCACAATATCGGGCGACCATAACCTTTAACTCTGGCCTTGTCCAAGAGGTCGGTTTTAGAAATGCTGGTCCAGATGGGAATCAAACCACTGACCTGCTATGCCTCAGTCTATGCTTCCGTATCTTTTACCCACTGAACGACGGCTGCTTATATGCATTTTACCACTACTCAACAGAACAAATAATCCCAACCAAACAAACGATAGCAAGTAAAAATATAACCTTTCTAGGTACTATCATAGAAATGGGTTCTACGACCGATATGTTATTGGCCGACGTGCTGCCGGCTCTTAGCTTGTAGAATCGAAAGATTTCGCAGATGGAGGTATCCAGCCCTCGTTTGGGCATCGCGCAAAGTCCGGTTTGTGGTACCGAGGTTTGAAAGACCCCTAAATGGGACAGCAAGTGGGCCTCATCTATTTTTGGTTGTTCGACGCTAAAAAAATGAAGGAAATAATTATTATTAAGGAGAAGAAAAGATTTTTCAATGATAAGGTTCATAGGTCGTTTTAATTAGAGAGAGTAAAGGTGTGTTAGAGACTCAACACATGGGCCCAGTTTGGCAAGTCCGGTTCGAAAAAAGTAATTGTAATATCTACTTACGCATCTTCGTTATCTGACATGGTATCAGAGGACGGGTTGTGAATAGTGAAATGAGTTGAATAGGAAGGTGGTAAAGAGGAAGCTCTGAACTCGTAAAAGCGTATGTTGCCATCTCCCTATTTTTAATTTTTCGAGCATATAATCGATAAAAATAAATTAAGTAAAAGATGTTAAATGGGGATACTCCCTCTTTCTCTCTCCTTCCATTTTCTTTCTTAAATCGCACAAACATATTTTAAATTTATGATAATTCAGGTTAGTTGTACCTTTCCGCCTATATAAAGGATTCCAGTTTCTTGGTCGAAAAAGGGGAATAAGGCACCAGGAGAGGAATCAACGATTTCAAGGCTGAGCGGTTCTTTCATGTCGCGCTATCAATAATAAGATTTATTCTTTCAAAATTTAAGTACTTCTACTCGGGAGGGGAAGGGGGGGGGGAGTATGACGGATGATCGTCAGTGAAGCTATCCTCATTAGAATAAAATTGGAGGGGGCAAGGGCGTAATTTTTAGTAGGAAAATTTCGAAAGGGTGTAGAAGGTAAAATCCTGGCCTAGAGGGGTGTAAAAGTACCCGATGAAAATAATGAGGATAAAGACAAAGTTGAAAGTTAGGATAGGGACATATATTCCTGTTCTATGCTTTTAATTAAGAATTCGATTAGATATACAGAATGAATATAGGCATTCTACATCTAATCATTCTAGAATACTATATATAAGACTATTCAAATTTTTAAAAAACGTGTCCAAAAAATATAATTTCGCTATTTTCCAACTTTTTAAATGATTCATTTTACACGTGTTCGATTATACCGGAATGTATTCCAGAATGTATAAAACACTTGCTATATAAATTTCAGGCACATTTATAAGATATTACACGTATTAATATATAAAATATTAGAAACCTGATCCCATACGGCGATTTGTCTTTCGCTCATTCGGGAAAACCCGGTGGTTATCATGTAATGCTGCGCACCCCCGTACGGGTCTCTATCAACGAAAAATACCCTAGAACTTTTGACCCCCTGGTGACTTCTAGCTTCCTAAAGTAAATATACACAAATGAAGCGATAGCAAGGGAAATGTATGTTATATATATATATATATATAAAGAAATAAAACTCGAGAGATGATCGGTTTAATCGAAGAGATATTAAAAATGAGAAAAAAAATTACAACAACGGTGGATCCCTTGCGAGGGTCTATAATTCTCAGCATTCGGTCCTTGCAAGTCGTGGCCAGAAGACTGCCGTCATAATTCCACGCCAAGTCCCAAACGGAATCCTCGTGATCTACTATGGTTCGGAAGGCTTGCCCGGTTTCCGTGTTCCATATTATAGCCTTTTTAAATAAAAATTTTTTTTAACACAAATTAAATTAATATAACGTCAGCTGATTCGAAAAGTTCCTCAATTCTATTGGTCACTTCTTTTATTTTTATAAATGCGATATTATAGGAATAACAATAAAAAATTTCTAAATTAAAAATTCGTAATTATTTTTAAAGATTTATATTTAAAATCTCCACCCTAATTCCAATCTTCTATATTGAAATAAAAATGGTTAATAACCAATTATCGGGAATTATGGTTATGAAGATCCAGAAAATTTTCACCGATCCAATAACCGATAATCATATCACGTGTCAGATTGATTAATTATCAATAGATGTTACAAATGATTAAATTTTATTAAAAACATATTATAAAACAAATTATGGAATAACATGTCGAACAAACGAAGATTAATTCCTCAAATATTCAAATAATTCATCGAATATTCAAATAATGTCGAATATTCAAATAATGTCGAATATTCAAATAATGTCGAATATTCAAATAATGTCGAATATTCAAATAATGTCGAATGGTTTATAAGAATCTAATAATTCTTTATTCGAACAAAATGGATAATTTACTATTCGTATTCATTAGTATCCTTATTCAAATTATCCCTAACCCATTAGGTAGTGCATAATTATGTGTATTTCTTTCATATGTTTACAAAATAGTTGTTAAAAGAGAGGGAAAAAATTATTAATAAAATAAGAAAATAAATTCAAAAATTAGGCATCAAGCTAGAACGGAGAATATAGAAGTTCTATATGCGTTAATATTTAGTTTCTATTTTACGAGATCACAAAAAAATAAAGAGTTAGCCAAATAAAAAACTGTATCAAGCCGTGCCAGCCAATCTTCTGGAGGCATTCACGGTGAAGATTATATCAATAATTTTAATGCGTATTTTCTATATTTTAGTGTTTTAACCCGTTTGAATAGTTTAAAGAAAAACGCCGTTATTAGTATTATCATCGATCCAGCATGAACGAAAATTATTATAAACGCTGAAAATCTGATGCTCCAATAATATAATACTTGATTAGCACTTACTAAGTTATCGATCAGTCAAAAACGAAATATAAGCCGAGTTATAAATATTCAATTTATAAATTGCGATTCAAAAATCAATTATGTCTCAATACATCAATATCTCATTTTTCCCCGATTAGAAATATTTTGGAATTTCATGATCCTACAATTTTTCTAGATATTATTCTTCTTTTTTTCCGTTCAATTAATAGATATAGAGGTAAAATAATTAAAATCCCATTATATTATAAATAGAATTTTATTTTGAAAGATTTGATATGAATCCGAATGTTATATCAAGACGTAAACCTTAAGCATGAAGTTCCCAAACTTTTGAAAGAACTCATTTTAAAGCCTAAGCCAATATCAATATGTCATATTGAAAACAAGTAAATACATTATTTTAATTCAATGTTTCATTCCGATTGGTATACTGTATAATTAAAAAACGTTATAAAAATTTCAAAAATTGGTATCAAGACACAAGTTAAACAAAAAAAATCATAGAAGTACTAAAGCAAATTAAAATAATATAATCTAAAAAAAATATAGTTTAAAATATGGCAAGGCTATTTGACTACTTTTATATCACCCTACTAAATTATAAAAGTATCAAAGTTACAGCCAGAGACACCGAGCCTATCTTCGGAAAATGTGATATCAAAATGAGATGGAAATGGTTCAATGACATATAATAATATTACCTAGAATGACGATTCATTCATAATAATACATTTTAAAGCGTGGTTGAATGCAAATCAGCTGGAGACCACGTGACACGTCATTTTGGTAACCTATATAGGATCCAGAATACTTTAAATTATTTAAATTTGGTTTGCTATACGTATTTCCTTGTCCTTATGAGAATAGCTTGGGAATAATTGTGAGGGAAGATATTATTTTACTTTACTTATATTAAGATTTTAAATTCTTTATATATTCTAAGGGTAGCCCAAAATGGTATCATAATGTCATCCCTCAGCTGTTTTTCAGTGATGTACGAATTCATAGGTTAGTTTTAGTGTTGTTAACCGGTCAGGTTTTGTGTTGATTTTTGAAAATGGCCCAATTAAAATTTTAGCCAAAATGATATTATGCAAGCTTGAAGGTTGCGGAAAGGTGTAGATCTCTATTTGAATAATCTCGAGGCTTACATAATTTTACTATGGCCAAAATCTTAATCGGGCCGTTTTTTAAGTCAACCTGGACCCAATATTTTACTTAAACTTGATTATAATTATACCCAAAAAAAATTATAGATTAATATAGGTAAATAAAGATAGCTCCCAATATATTTTAAATTTAATACTATATTCAAAACGAAATATTCTTAGCTGTGTGAATAAATTTTGGCAACCTGTGCCTAAAATTGTCGGTCCTCTAAAGAACCCATAATTCTAACAAGTATTGTCATTTTTTAAAATTGGATTTCTTGATGCATCGTCAGTCTAGGTATTACTATATGTCATTGGAATGGTTAAAGTGAAATTGTAAAAAAAATGACAAAAGCAATCTCAAGCGCTAAGGTTGAGCGATTGCTTAGTAAAATAATACTAAAACTAAGTAGTAAGCCTTTCTAAGAAATTTAAAAGATCAAACGTCGATCTCATACGGATTCTAGTTTATTTGGGGAACTGTCCTGTTTTTAAAAATTTTTGCTTGCGCCTTTGTGTCACGTTGGTCACTAAAATAAACTGGTACAAGGAAATCACCATACTAGTACTGGTGGCATAAATTGATATAGTAATCAAAGCCAAATCGAGGGTCATGTTGGAAAGGAAGTCTAGAGGCAATCCAAAAAAATCCGCAATATTCTGATTGGCTCAGAAGTCAATAGTTTATATTATGGAATTATCCTATAATTATGCAGATGATAAATCTATTTGAACTGGACCAACTCGAAATTTCTGCTGGCGGGCAGGGCATAAATCTTAATTATATATATCGATATAATCATCTAAAAGTTATGAATTTAGGCTTGTGTAAAAACTAATAATTATCTACTTTAATATTATATTTTGTCATACATTTTAGACATGGTCGGAAAATCCTTTTATCGTGCCTATTCTAGTTTCCATTCCCTCTTCTGGTCTTAAAATAGACATCACTATCCTTCTTCACTAGGTGCCCCCATTTTTTTATTCCACGTGTCTTCCTCCTCTTCGCTTTATGTATACCAGCATTACTTAAAGCTGCCCTTTTCCCGATATAAACCTCTAATTCCAAAAAAAATGTCTCAAACCTTCTTTCCTTCAATTTGTTTTTTCTTCGCAATCCTAAACTTAAATTCAATTTTCTCAGTGGTTGATGTTAGATCAACGACAAACCAATATATTAGTACGTGATATGTAACATTGATTTTATTTGATGCTTTAATTTCTCGTCCCATTTCTTTCTTTCTTTCTTTCTTTCTTTCTTTCTTTCTTTCTTTCTTTCTTTCTTTCTTTCTTTCTTTCTTTCTTTCTTTCTTTCTTTCTTTCTTTCTAATCTAAATTAAATTTACGATCCACTCGATAAAGCAATACATTATCTGTTATATAAACAAAAATAATGTACAATATTTTATTAATAGCAATTTTTTTTTGTAAAAAAAAATAACCATTTTAAATAACAAAATTTTAAAACAAGAATTATATTTTGTACAAAATTTAAACTCGGTATTTTTTTTGTAAAATACACTTCTTTCTCCGCCAAGGACATCGCGAGTAAAGTTTTTAATTATTATTTTTGAAATAAAATAGAAGAAAAAAAAATTAACATAAATATTACATTTTGAGCTAAAAAAAATTTCATCTTAATAATTAAAATAACAAAACGATTTTTTTAGTAAGGTCCGTGCAAATCCAAAATAAGACCAAACCGACTCGGACCTAAGAAAATATGATGGACCGTTAAAAACAAGTCTTTATTTCGATTAAGTAACTAGTCACAAAGTGAGTTCAAATATATATTACTTATTATGATTTTTAATAGTTGTAATCTATGCATGCTGGGCGAGTCGGACTCCAGCGGTAAAATAAATGTGTAAGTAAAAATAAACCCCCCGAGCTTCCCTGAACCCTTCAGCAATCTAGTAGGAAAAAATTGGTGTAATCACTCCGGTCAAGTTTGACAGGGCCAAATTTCGAATTGATATTGAACTCCATTTCTATTCATTTTTTTTTTATCATATCATAAAATCTAAATTTTAAAAGAACAAAAAATTCTTTATTAGATATTAAAACTAGCATTTCATGTTTATTTTTTTTTTTAAATAAAATGTTTTTTAAAAAAATAATGAATTTTAAAAACTACTAAACCAACTTGGAATTTATCAAAAATAAATTTAACGTAGTTCCTGAAGATTTGATGATAATGATAAATACCAATTTTCAAGCAATATTAATATCCTAACAAGTCTGGGGCCCTATAGGCCCCAGGAGAATGCTGAAGGGTTAAAAAAACTTTTATTAAGTAATTATACCCTAGCATCGCAGGAAGTGGTGGCTAAGATATTGCTAGCTGAGGGGTGCCAGGATAGACAATTGATTCGTTTGTCGTGTCTTTGGAGGTTTAGGAGTAGGGTTGAGTCGATAGAAGAATTGTGGTGAGCGTCGCACTGCGGAGAGGCGACCTGCCAAATCTTGACTGTAGCATCCTCCGAACCCGTAGCTAGAACATCGTCATCGAACGGGTTCCAGGCTAGTTCTATGGCTGGTCTTGAATGACCGCTAAAATGGGGCAACCGGCTATCGTCTATACGTCCTTTCTAGAGGGAATTAATTTAGTTTTTTTTTACGAAGTACATAATGTCATTTTTTTCAAATTCTTGAAAAACAAAATAATTCTTAGAGCTTGATTAAGCTTATTAGAATTGATATATTCAAGCATTTTTTTAGTGTCAAGCTATTTTCAAACTTAGTAACTCGTATGGATGCGTCTATGGGTTGTTTCCAGCTTGAAAAATGTTAATGAAAAGATTATGAATTAATAGCCTGAGCCATCGAAAATGTAAGGTATAATACATTTCAGACATTTGTACTCGAACAAGGTAAGTAAGTGCTCGTTGTCCTTTAATTTGTGATAGAGTATGTGGAGTTAATGAATACTGAATTGATATTGAAGCATTTTTAAAAAATTGATAACTTGTGGCAGCATCAATTACTTTACAGATTTGAAAAGATATTTTTACTTAACAAGTTTATAAAGGATACTTCAAGGCTTGGTTAAAGGTTAATCAGTTGCCTACAATTTCAAAAGATAGGAGGCCAAAAATTGAGGGTAAAATCGATTCTAAAAACTTAGATATTTCGAACGTTCCACATTAAAAAAAAATTTATCGTCTGCTTACTTAGTTGTATTAATTTTTTGAATAATTTACATATTTATTTTAAAATTAGATGAATACATGAAATATTTTGCTAAGTATAACTTCTCAAACACTCTAGTATGATTGTAATTATACGAGGTAAAATGAATGCTAGAATAGATAATAAAAAGAGCTTCATAGATGACCAGGTGCGGTCTACAAACTCCAAGCTCCAAAATGCCTTTATAACTTATGGACTAACTGAACGAAATCAAATTTATTTTGCGCACATAAACTTTTGCCTAAAAATATTAAGCAACTAAAAGATCCAGACAAAAAAATCTAATTAATAAACCCACCTGTTGTGCTATGTAGGGTTAAGTTAAGTGTCATCATGGTATCGAAATGGAATTGAAATTTATTTAAGGAGTAAATAATTATAAAAATCACAAAAAAAATTTTCATAATATATTTAAACTTTTAACGATAAATTATATATTTTTATATCTAACCTGCCAAAGGGGCAAAACCACGAAAGACCCCCCTCCCTCGCTCTGAATAGAAACGGCCATCCACTTTGGATTGACTGCCAAAGGACAGCTCTCGCTCTGGTGCCTGGATATTCGCAGGCCTTCGTAGGTTTCGCTCTTTCGAACCGCGCCTTTGCCGAACAGATTCCTGAATTTAGAAATTTTACGATTTTCTTCCTTGATCATGATTGGCCGGGTGTTTGGATGCTGATTCTGATATTTAAATAGTTCTTTTTCTCCCTTCCTTTAAATCATTACATTTTGAATTTGTAGTATTACCATTTTTGTATCTTCTATCTGTCAAAATATATCATCACAAAATAAAAGAAATATTTGCTTTGGAAATAAGCCCAAATTAATAAATATTTATAATTGATAAACAAAAAATATTAAAATTTTACATTAAAAATTTTTGGTTAAAAAAATAATATATTTTAAATAAAACTAAAACATTCATCCAGTTCAAGTTTAAAAACATTTGTCACTAATATTTCAAAAATATTTAATATATATTATATAAATAACTTTTACACTATCTCAATATTTTTTTCTCTTTCGTTCTTTCCTTTCCCCTTCCCCCATCTTCCTTAGAGGAAAGAACTAAAGGTGTACCGAATTAAACGGCTTGAGCCGATTTTTAAAAACGGCTAGCTCACTATTTTATTAGGAAAAATATTATGCAAGCTTTAAGATTTTTCTCATAGGTGGCACAAGGTTTGAACATCTACTAACGAAATTTCGAGGCTTAGACAATATTTTTCTGGCTAAAATATTGAGTTAGCTGTTTTTTCGGCTTAAATCGAGCCGTTTAATAACGCTAGCACCGGTACAACTTTTTGAAGGCCAATCAGATCCGATATAACTGATATTAAATTGATATCGGCCGTTACCGATCAGATATCTCATCTGATTATATTCTGTTCACATAATAATGTTTGAGTGCACACATCACATCTCATATCATATAACATCTATAATTTAACTATACCATAACACAAAGTCATTTTAAACTCAGATCTCAAAATATTTTTTTCCTTGATAATTCCACTAATTTATATAAAATTTGTTTCAAAAAATGAATGCGCCATTTAAGCAGATCAAATCGGAATTTATAATATCGGCCTATAACGGACATTTTTAAAGATGATAAAATTATCGGTAAATCCCGAGAAAGAACCGTTAGAATTTTTTTTTCTTCTAGAATTTAGAAAATCGATATTGAGCTGTAAGTTCCTTTAAAAATAACAAGCACGGCGTGCGCTCTTAAAACTTTTATATTTTAAATAAAAAATATAAAATTCAAAATCAATGTAATTATAAAAATTATTATTTTTTTATTAGTTTAATTTTAATATATTTTTTTTAGTTTTGGTTTTGATTATTTTAGTTTTTTTTAAAAAAAAAATATCTCTGCGTTATTTTTGGAGTTCATATACTCGCCAGCTGCTTTAAATGTTTCAAGCTTTAATCAAACATTTTGTTCCTTTCCTTCTTTCTTTCTCCCTTTTTTTTTCTTCAATAATCAAAAAAAAAATAAAATAATTTTTCTTAAAATCGAAAAAATAATAAACAATTTTGAAATCTCTTCACAATCTCTTTCATTTTCTTAATTTAAATTTCTAAGCTTAAAACTATTTTTTTTTGGAAATTTTCTTAATAACTAACTTATGATTTAAAATGACAAAAATAATGTAAGGTTGTACCCAGCCGGTGACTTTTTAAATGTATATAAATAACATCTTTGTGATTATTTTAGTCTAAGGCCGTATCCTAGGGCTTAATAATAAATAGTCAAAAATTCAAAAGAAAAAGTTTAAAATTAAAAAAACAAACCAAAAAGTGAGAAAACCAGAATAAAATATGAAAAATAACAAAGCAAACCAAATACTTAAACCAAACCAAAATAGGGTGTACTAGTTCAAATTTTTTTTTTGCCTATATTATAAATCAAATTAAGTATTCAATTTAAGCAAACTTAGGACTAAGCCAAACTTTAAATCTTATTACTTATTATTAATTAAAATAAATTTTCAAAAACTACCCCATCTAAAAACACGAAAACTTTTTTTGATTTTAATCATTATATTTGCCCCCATTTGTTTGTTACCATTATAGTTTAAAATTGCATAAAATATAATATAATATTTTTCTTGTTAATCGATTATTTGGATTTCGGTCAATATTTTTCAATCATCGATTTAAAATATTTACATTAAAATCAATAATATTGTTTTTTAAAAAAGTACATTGTATAATCAATAAAAATTACATTTCAAGTTAAGAAACCAATAATCGCTAATAAAGTAAAAACAGTAATTTTTGCTTCTTTTTTAAATAAAATAAATAACAAATTTTATAGAGGTCTGCAAAAATTTTATTTAGGCCAGGCAAATTTATATATATATTAACTCTGATATTTCATAGAAGTGATAATTCATAAAGTATAGTGTTTTTAATTTAACCACTCCACAATTATTAAAAATAGTTGTTTATTTTGGTGTTCAACAACATATGTTTCGGTTTAGGCTTTTAAAAAAATTGAAACTGGGTCAGGTCACCTTAAGCCGAAAAAAAATCTTCAAGTTTTGAAGAACAGATTTTTTTGATCAAATTTTACCTAGAAATGAAATCAATCCCAATTTCCTTATCCTAAAAAAAGTAGTGTTGCTGAACGGCGCTCGATATTGAGCCGTGTTGGAAAAACTAACTCAATGTTTTAGCAAGAAAAATATTGTCCAAGTCTCGAGATTTCGCTAATAGATGTCCAAACCTGTCATCTATGAGCAAAATCTTCAGGCTTGCGTAATATTTTTCTAGAAAGAATAATGAGTTAGCCGTTTTTAAAAATCGGCTCAAATCGAGCCTTTAAATAACACGACTAAAAAAGTTAGGCCTGATAGGGAAACATAGGGTTAGAGAGATATGGTTTAAAGCAAATCATTGATATTTTTTTTTAAAATAAATATAAGGATTTATGAATAAAAATTTAGGAAGGAAATAATCTATAATGAACGAAATTGTAAAAAATTATTATACGATTAAAAAACCATGATTTATTGATGAATCATTGACATAAATATCCTGGACAAAAAAGGGCAAAAAGATATCTACTCCAATTTTTCCCAGTGTCTTCTTATCCTTGGGTATTTTTGTCCAGGGTAAATTTCTAGGAATCTTTTTGTCCGTGACATTGTGGAGGATTATTTATTGATTTCAATTATTTAAATTTAAAATTGTAAAAAAAATATTTTAAAAAAATGGATTCTACAATTACAATGATTTTTGATCAAATTTTGCCTAAAATTTCCAAGAACTTTATATCTTTAGTAATTTTCATGCATTTGTAATAATAAATAATATGACTTTAAATTTTATTTCCCCTTCACATGATTATATGAAATATTATGTATTTTTTTTTATTATAATATTTCCAAATTATGTTATGATTAGAAAATTAAAATTAACCTTATTTAATATATAAACTACTAGAACCTACAATAATATTATAATATTAAAAAGTATATTTCCTATTCCTAGTTTTATCAATTATAGAGATTACATATATTATATATTTTGATTTTAGAGATTTCAAAATCGATTTTTTTATGAATGAAATGTGGAAAGAAAGAGAAATATTAAATGGTATTATATTATATTATTCATCAAATATAAAATTGTAAAAAGCATTAATACAAATAAAATATACATTTAAAAAAAAAGCTTACTTACACTTTACTTCCATCCACGAGATTTTACTACACATTACACGATAACATTAAGTAATTTTTTTTTATAATAAAATAATACCTATTATTCTTTCTATTTTACTTATTAATACAACTTGCTCTGCTAGAGTGAAGTTTTTTTAAAAATATAATTGTTTTTTTTTATAAATGAAAAATGACAATTAAATTATATAATAATCTATGTGAAGGCTTTCAATGACCTTTTCCAAGCAAAAAAAATAAAATAAAGCGAAAATAAAATTTATAAAAAATCAAATTTTTTTAAATTTTATCAGTCAACAAAATGCTAATGAGAAAATCATGCTTTCTTTGAATAAATATTTGAAGTTTTTCCTAGAAATATTTTACTCCAATACCTTCATAGTTAGAGCGAATTATATAAAATACGCTGTATTTTTTTTATTCTCCGCAGCGAGTTTGCGTCCACTGTGAATGCGTGGTTAAATATATAAACAGTTTATAAAATTTTGATGTGGCTTATTCGAAAAATAGGCTCACAAAAAGTCACCCCCCCCCCTTCTATTTAATACACAAATTTTCCTATAATTTTATTAGATCTTCTAAGCAGCAGCACCGCCGACCCCTATTATTACGGGCGTAGTCTAGCTAACCTATTTTGTTTTTGCATCTCTCCCTAATTTGCTATCTATCTTCCTTTTTTTTTAAATATTAAATTCTTAATTTTAACTAGAACAGCATTAATAACTTATTAACGGTTGTCTTTGACATAAAATTATTAGATAACTTCTTCCCTTGGATTTTGATTCATCAAGAATTTCAGCTTACCTTTTCTACTTTGGCTTTTGAAGCTAGTCTTTTTTAAATGGTGTCAAAGCACCTATTTATTTTTTTGTTATGACTTTTTGTACGAGGAAATTCCCATGATTTAAGTTTTCAATTTCAAAATCGATAGGTGTTTTGTGGTTATCTAGGATTTGTTTACTTTACAACCGTATTTTCATGCATATTATTACACGGATATTATTGCATTTATCATTTTTAAACTAACTAAATTCTATTTATATAATGAATCATAAAATAATGTATAAAACATATAAAATTAATCAAAACTTGACTTTCATTTAAACGGGCAGGCAATTTTATAACCCTAATGTTAAATTTTCAATTCCGCCTGGCTGACCAATTTGAGTTCGATATCGAGTTTAAATTCGGGTTTAGGGTGAAATTTGACTTTTTTTTGCTTCAACCAGATTCTAACTCGCGCCTCCCCGTATTATATAGTGATGAAACCATCCTTTGCGTTTCGTAATGCAAAACGCAAACAATACATTTCAATGGTATCGTGCAAAAATTTATAAAAGTTAATAATAAAACGCGAATTGCAGTTTGATTTTTTTTAACTCTCGAAAACTCTCAATTAGGTCGCACCCCTAAACACTTAAATATATTATTTATCAATTTATTTATTTTATTTTTTTTCGATAATCGAAAATCTTGATAATTTGCGATAATTTCTAAAAAATCAAAAACAATCATACAAAATTTCAAGGGTATTTTATTTTCATTATTATCATATTCATACGTGTCAATGTGACACAAAAAAAAAATTTAACCTCAGCCCATTTTTTTTCTTCCTCACTATTATAAATAATTTAAATTACAATGAATTTTAATTAAGATAAAAATTAACGATTTCCCACAACAAAACCGAGATAAAATTATCTCCATTATTGTCATTTGGTTTTATTTAGCATGATAATGAAAAAATAATGTAATTTTAATGGCTCGTAATATTATGCCAACATCGGGATTATCTTTCAGCCATCTATGAGCAAAATCCATCAAGGCTCGCAAAATTGGATCAGGTGTTTTTTTTAAAAAAAATCGAATCGTTTAACAACACTACTTCCGGACAAAAAATTGTCGATTTAGCTGATACAATCAATTTACGGTAAACGAATAAAGATTCTAAAGAGATACCATTTAAGCATGGTTCACTTGTCCTTTTATCCAAACGAGTTTAAGGATATATATAGTACTTTATATAAATATATATAAATATATGCAACTAATAGATCGCCGTTTTTTAAGGCGGCGGCGAGGGGGGGGGGTTAATCCGTTATAGAAGCTGCAAATAAAACCGGCTTAAATTTATAGGGCCGAGCTATAATTTTTTAAAAATCATAATAAGCATTTATATTATAAATTACTAAATCCTTCATCCTGAACACAGAGAATATTTTACAATTATCGCTTTATATTTTATCTGTACCCAAGTAGGAAGTGACCTAATGTTTTTTTATTATATTAAAGTTCGGTCACACTTTTTACAGGTTATCGAAAGATCGGGCCGAATACGCCTTTGCGAAAATCGACCTGGTCACGTCGGAACTTCGGTCCGGATTATTGGCTATTTAACACAGTATTTTAATGAAAGAATAAAGGCAACAGAAAAAATTAATATTACCACGTGGAAAAAAATATTCTATAAATTTTTAATAAATCAAGCTTTTGAATATGATACTTAATTATTTATAATTCATTTAATATATTAAAGTTAAAAGAAATAATTTAAGTAACTTGATACGTTTTAGGAAAATCAAATTTCATGTAATAAGAGAGAGAGAATAAAAATATCTATAAATTTATTCGATATTAATAATAACTTAATTACTTGTTACTATTTACTAGCAAAGCACTAATTTATAAATCAAATATAATAATCAAACGAAAATAAAATCCCGAAAGTGTGATCTGAGTGAATCCAAGGGCAGAAATAACAATTGATACTTGTTATACAACGAAAGACATTTTTTTTGATAAATTTTTATAAGTAAATGGGCAAATAACGATAACGTTATTTAGTTTGATGAAATGATAAATTTGATATATCAAAAAAAGATAGGATAGAACAAATTGCAACAAATTATTAATATTATGATTATATTACATTATATTTTATAAATATTAAATATTTTTTTTATTAATTTTAAAATGAATAAAAAAATTTCAAAGATTCTGTTCTCTAACGATTTATTTTTGAGAATGCTCAAATAAGAGTTTTTTAAATCAAATTTTACTTAAAATTTAAATTTGCATAAAAAAATATTTCAAATGTGAATAAAATCTTCAAATGATTTCTTGCTCAAAATTGTGGGCAAAAAGTCTTCAAATTTTCAAACTCTGTCTAGTGGCAACTTTTGCAAGTTCGAATTTATGGCAATTTGCCTTAATTTTTGTTAAAGCAGCTTTGGTGCCATTATTTAATTAATTTTTTTAAATAAAGATTTTAATAGTGTTGTTACATGGCTCGATTTGAGCCGATTTTTTAAAATGGTTAACTCAATATTTTATCCTGAAAAATATTAGGCAAGCTTGAAGAATTTGCTCATATATGGCACAAAGATTTGGACGTCTATTAGCGGAATCTCGAGGGCTTGATAATTTGTTTTTGTCTAGAATGCTGAGTTAGCTGTTTTTAATAATCGGCTTACTGTTTAACAACCCTAGATTTTATCATAAAATGAATAAGGACTTTTAAAATATTCCTATTTTTTTTTTCAAGTCTAAAAAATCACTATTCAGAACATAGGTATCTATAATTTATATTATATATAAGATTTTTCAAAAAAATATTTTGATTTATATGGTTTTTAAAAAAAATTTTAGCACCAAACCACATTGGCGTAACTAAGAGGTAAGCCATCCCCCCCCAACCCACCTTAACAAATTTATCAGTTTTGTAAATATCATTGCTAATATTTATAAAAGCACATTCCTTCCCTCCTTTACTTCTCCCCAAAATATCAATACAATATGTCATTCATTTATAAACCATATTCAAAAAAAAATAGTAATAGAATTTTTTTTTTAAAAATTACATTGCCCAAAAGCACCCTCTCCACCTTTTACGAAAATATTGGATACATCCATGACAAACTAGAACTTAAAAAATTTATAACCTAAATTTCGTCAAGTTTAGTAATATAATAATGTAATATTTAAATTACAATTTGAAAATAATAAATTATTTGAGATAATGCTTCTTTTAAATCTTTTTTTGCAGTTGCCCTTTTTAAAAAAAATAATAAAGATCGTTTAAATACCTCATGTCCAGTCGAAAACTGATATTTTAAAATTTACTACTTTTTTTGTCGATAATGTGTTAGGGTGTAGCAGCTGTCCTAATTTGTTTGAATGGACGAACCTATAATTGTTGCATACTCAAAGTGTGCCAATAAAATCTATTTTGTATTAAGAAAATGGTTTAAAATCTTTGTGAGAGGTGGGTGGGGAGGGGGGAGATATTATATAAGTTTTTATTAGTTCTCTTTTTGATTAATAGTTAAAATCATGTCTTAAAGTTCTATAACAGTATAAAAATATGTGTACAAATATTATAGTGGAGATATTCTTTAAACCTATCTAATGATTGCAACGATGTCATTTTATCAAATAAAACTTTAAACCATATTCTATTCTAAAACAAGCTTGCCAAGTCTGATTTAAGGAGGATAGGTTAGGAATAAATATTTTATCAGACTTAATTGGGCTAGATTTGTATATTAAATTTTATCATATGGGGCAGGCTATATTTAAACCTTGTCAGCTCATTAAAAAATTTAAATGTTTCTATGCAATTTTTTTTCTAGAAAGAACTGCTAAAATTTATTTTCATATGATGGTTTGGTTAAATAGGTTGAAAGTTATACTATCATTGAATTTTTCAACAGGTTGGACCTGAAAAAAGCTCAAAGTAGTGTAGGTCCCTCACAGGTTTTTAAAATATAAATTTCTTATGTGTTTCTAAATCAAATACTTAAACCCTCTCATCCTTTATTTTTTCTAACAGTTTATCAAATACAATTTGGTTTGAATAGAACAGGAAGTAAAAAAATGGCTAGATTCATTTTAGCTGGTTTAACTGCTAAAATACTATGGATGTATTTGTATGAACTAAGAAAAAATTGAAGTGACAAGTGAAGATTGTCAAAAAATGTCAGTTAAGATTAATCTGTACTCATATTTGTATAGATCATTGGTGCATTTAGGAGGGATTTGGCAGGGTGAACTGAATAAACTGGGTATTTGACCCCCTCCAAAATATTTTAATTTATTGTTTAAATATAATTATATATGAACCATAAAACTGAAATCAAAAGTAAAAAAAACATCAAAAAAATTATTTCCCAAAATCATGATAATTAAAATGGATGTCTCTAAATAATGAATATTAATAATTTAACTCCTAATTTATTAAAAAATTTCCTAAACTATTTCCCTAAAATAAAATAACTATGCCACTAGCATATTTGCATGCATGATAGTAAAAAGATAGTAAGGTGATCAAAATGGGGGACTTAAGGTATGGGTGAATTGCTAATTAAACAGTTTTTAAAATAAATTTTAAGTATTGGCCTATATTTAATTTATTTCAAAATGTATTTTGAGTTGAGCAAATTAACTATTGAAGACATTTATATCAAATAGAACTTAAAAATACAGAATTTATAATTTTTTAACATGCTCCTATGAACATGCTCCTATGAAATTATTTAGAAACAAAATAAAACATGTATAAATTTTAAGTTATAAATAAAAGACTTGTTCTTTGATCTAATATGATTAATTATAAAATATTTTGGATAAAAATATACATTATATTAAAAAAATATTAAAATTTACCTTTCATTGATTAATTTTTTAAATTCATATGTTCTAGGATGGATGATTATTTTGTCGATTAAAACTCTACGATTCGGGTAATGAAACGCTTGCTAAACAATGGCAGGCCACAAACATGCTGTACATCATTATCCCTATGTTTCCCCACTTTTTAAATAATGAAAATAAATTCAACCCTTCTTATAGAAGATCTAACCTGATCATATGTGTGTTTAGCAAGTAGATCATCTAATATATTTTACAAAACGAATTTAAAAAAATTAAGCCGACTAGTATCCAGTTAAAAATTTATTAGGAAAGGAAATGGAAAATATTTTTTAAAACAAGATAGCGGAAGATTTCTGACTTTATATTAATATTAACAAAAATATCAAGTTAAAGTTTAGGACACTAAATTAGCACAAATGAAGTTAAAAAAGAGAACAATAAATTAACAATAACTGAAAAGAGGTATATAAAAACACGAGAAAATGTATTAAAAAATCCAGCAACTGTTGGATTTTTTATCTAAGGGGCTAGGACCTAATTGTAGATTATTGGTTATTGAAAGTGGCAGTGTCTTAAGGTTAGCTTTTAAAAATAAATATCATTTATATGAGTTAAAACATTGAAACACGCAGGAGCTTAGGAATTCTTAATACGGTATTTGGTTTTGTTGTGGTATAAGAAATTATATTATTACCATACTATCTGATGTATAATGAAATAATTCTAAGTGAGTAATTAAATGAACAATTAAATTTAGACCAAACCCCAATTCCTATGAAAATATGCGGCTTGACCAATTAACTAAAGAAATATAAAGTAAAGCTGACCGGGACAACAAAATAATTCTAGAAACCTCATGACACATGTAAGAGATGCTTTATGAGACAACCAAAAGGGATCGAAGGGGAAAGTATAGTAAAGAAGGGAGATTTTAAATCCAAAGTAAAGTGGAAAAGAGATGTATAAACATTGGAATACATAATTATATTAAAGGAATAGAAAAAGAAATTTATTGCTATAGAAATATTGAGCAGCAGGGACTACTAGTACAAGTGGGAGGGGGGGGGTTATAGTAGAAGATCTTCTAGTTATGAAGGCACTCTTGTTATATGAACAAAATTGGAGAGGGTAGGCGGTTATTTTTCAAATTTAGATTTCTTTTTTTTAAGATTCTGAGAGAACCAACGTCTGGTAAGAATTATTGAATTTGGACGAGAATTCCGTACATGCGCAGTACTTGTTGAGAGGGCCATTAAATTAGGGCATTTTGGTGGTTAATGATGCTTATTATCAGAGTTGTACAAAAGATCTTCTTTGAAGATTTTTGAGCGAGATCTAGCTCAAAAATTTGAGCAAGATCTTTGAAGATCGTAAAATTTGAAGATCTTTTATTTATAAAAAAATTTGAGCAACGATCTTAAAAGATCTAGATCTTTGAAGATCGTAAAATTTGAAGATCTTTTATTTTTTTAAAATTTTGTGTAACGATCTTCAAAGATCTTCATGATATTTATTTTTTTTACCCCTTTATTAAAAGCCCAGATGTTTTTCAATTTTCATCAAGGCAGGAGGAGAGGTATAAAACATAAAAGAAATATTATATTAATAAAATTGAAAAACATCTGGGCTTTTAATAGAGGGGTAAAAAAATAAATATCATGAAGATCTTTGAAGATCGTTACATAAAATTTTTAAAAAATAAAAGATCTTTAAATTTTACGATCTTCAAAGATCTAGATCTTTTAAGATCGTTGCTCAAATTTTTTTATAAATAAATGATCTTGATCTTTGAAGATCTTTTTATTTTGAGAAAATGTACAACTCTGCTTATTACCTTAAGGTACTACCTATCAAATTTGAATTTTGTTCATTTTTCATTTGGATAGGCACTACCAAATATATTTATAATATATATTTGAAAAATCGTGATTTTTGGAAAGCCTCTATGGCCTAGTAGGCAATAGCTTGGCTTACTTATCCCATGGTCCCGGGTTCAAATCCCGAGAATGGTCATGTTTTTTTTCTTATTCTAACTTGGTGGTTCCATCCTTGGGGGGATAATATATAGGAGGCTAGACTCGACCACGTGATTCCGTATTAATATATTAAATAATAAGGGTCTTATTACATTTTAATAAATTTTGGTTTATATTTAGCAAATTAGGTTGGTATTTCCATACATTCACTTGGTAGCAAGCATCATTAACCCATTTTGGTGATGTAATCTGGTCTTCTTAAACTTTCACTTATTTAATTTTTTTAAATTATTACTTATAATAACGCATTGTATTCAATTTTTGAGGGAATGAGGGCAAGCAATGGGGGTGGGGGAGGAGTGTAAGCAGATTATTCTTATTAGATTAAAATGTTATATATTACAATCAAATTTGTCAAAGGATATGGTCAAATATTATATTAAATTAAAAAATATTTTTAGAATAAGTAAATAGGATATCCTGTTGTGGACATTTTGTCAGAGTGCTCATAAACATATTTAGAAATGATTAAATAATTTTTGATCTTCTTGATTTAAGTTTCATTCTATTGAACAAACTTGACACCTCATTGTCTAGAATTCCATGAGAGGAATATCTCGAATAGATAGTCGACAAATTTAAATATTGGCCGCGAGAGAAATCATAAAAGAATATTAATATAATATAAAGACAATTTAAAAACAACTGGACATCTAGGAATTACCATATTCAGATAAATGAATATTAAGAAAAATTGTATTGGATTTGAGCTATTCTAATATATAAACAAGATTCGTGAGTATAACACAATAGTTTAAATAAAATCAATGTTTGTACTTTACCCCTGCCTGCCAATTTATATTTTAAATTATCTTAAAAGTAAATATTATATTTATGGGGATCCAGTATTATATATATATTCAGGAAAACAAAATAATTAGGGGATTCACAAAAAATCATTTATTAAAGTTCTTATAGCCATTCTTTTTAAAAGGTAATTGAATTAGCAGTCTTGCATAAGATCTATCAATTCTTTACCAAAATGAATAATTACTAGTGCTATAAACGTTACTTCAAAAACGTGTTACTAGTTACTTTATGAAAAAAAGGATTGTTTAAAAGCTATTTTTAAAAAAAGTATCGTGTCATTACATTCCGATATGTAAGCATCGAGATTTGGCAAATAAATATCTTAGCATTGTCAGCTATGAGCAAATTCATTAGGCCTTGGTTATAATCTTAATCGGGCCATTTTTGACCAAAATCGGGCTTTTTAACAACACTAAACAAACAAAATATACTAAATATTATTTAATAATAAAAATAAAATTATCATATTATAAGATAAGTTCTTTTGTAATAATTCTTTATTTATTATTAAATTTTGATCAGATAAACAATAACGCCTAGTGCGCAACACCGCTTTATCTGTTCACACGTACATCAACTAGCGCAGAGGATGGGAGGGCGGGGTGTATTATATTTAATAAATAAAATTTTAAGGGAATTTATTAAAAATGATTATCTTCACAAAAATTTTCATTCAGATCCTCATCAAAATTTTTTCTGTCTTTATCGGAATTTAATCTGAATTCAC